GTTAGGCCTTTAACCGAAGATGAGTATCTTTATCTTAGGCTATGCAAGTTAGGTAAGTTGATCTCATTCTTCAAATTAAGTTAGATACATGTTTAAAGTGATTTGAATAGAGCTATTCTTAATCGGTAAACGAGTGTCCAGTGATGTTTTCGTTAAACATTTACTGTGATTCATTCATCATGAGCATCATGTCATTCCTTATGGATCCATGATATTTATCTTATGCATCGGCATGCAATAGGTGTATCGGAATGTGTGACACTGCTGGAATTCGAGGAACCGAGCGAGAAGCAGCAGTAGCCAACACCGGAGGTTCTGGAGGTGCAGCCCTCAGGAGAGGTGCCAGACGAGGTCGCCGTTGAGTGCCCGGATCACTGTCCGTGCAACTTTGTGAAAGGCAAGCCCCGAAGCATATTAAGCCTCCTAATTTCCAAAATGCAGTTAAAGTATTATTGTTACATATATATATTGTTGCATTAAGTTTAGGTGTTGGATGCAAACACTTGCTGCATTGGTTATCCAATCCTTGTCCAGATATTGATACCATGAATCCTATGTAGCTCAGGCTCGCGTAGTGCTTAGCCCTGCTTAGACGCGGTAGAAGTCAGGTGATTTCCTGTCACCTGCGAGATATAGAAAGATACATATGGTATGGTTGGCTATATTTGCTATCGTGGAAAAGAACCTGTCTTAATTTGAAATGAAGACCGGACGGAGGCTTGCCGGTTTGTAGTGACTCCGTCTGTGTCGCTTAAGGACTGAATCTTGGAGCCTTTCCTGTTCATGTTGAACGCATGCCTCTCTCTTAGTTGGCCGTGTCCGAAGACCGACCACGAAGCCGAGTAGCCCACCTCAGTCCAGGAGTCGATAAGTATAAAGTGTGCCTCGGAAGGGAGCCGTAGGCGTGAGTCCAAGGGCAGGTGATTTAAAAGTCCTGATCGTCCTGGCAGAAGGGTAATCCCTGAGAGTGCTGGCGCTGATCGAACCCGTGAATTTGGTTCCTGAGTTGTCCCAAAGGTGACCCACGGCTACCCTTGCAAAGTATGCCAGGGTGAGAGTTAGGAATACCCCCTCAGCTAAGTTGTAATTCGATTCGAGTCGCCGTCTCTCCCGGTTAGTGAGAACTTGACTGGCTTATCTCCAAAGTAGATATACTAAATAACATAATGGTCAAGAAATGATGATATGATGATGACAGCCTTATTATACCTGCTATGGTTAATATTGATTGCTCCTAATAAGTGAGTGCTCTAGTACAGGTGCTAATCTAGTGGATAGGTAAATGATGATAAGCTTGATGCTAAGTTTAAATTGGTCACTATATTCATAAGCTCTTTTATGCAACTGTGTCAAGCTAGCCCACCTCATAAGCCTTGCATGATCCTTGGTGTCTTTTATTTATGGTTTTGTCAGGTAAGTCTAGCTGAGTACCTTCTCGTACTCAGGGTTTATCTCCCATCTGTTGAAGATGACCAGTTCTACTTTGGTTGCTGCAAGTATTGCCTTCTCCCAGCTGGGGATGAAGACTTGACCGTTGGGCGCGGTCTCTCCTAGTTCTCGTATCTGAAGATGCTTTTGTGGGACATGACTAAGATCTGGCAATGTATTTAAAACTATGAAGTTATGTACTAAACTATGTTGCTTCCGCAAATTTGAACTTGGTTTGAAATATTTTATTTGAACTCTGATGGATGTAATCCGAATGCTACTTGTGAAATGTTGTAACGAATGATGTGTTGTGTTGAATCACTACGGTCTTGGTTTGTATGTCGAGAGTTGGTTGAAATCCTTCGTGATTTCCGGACTACCGGGATTATGGGAGCTTAAGTACAGGAATTTGATCACTTCGGTAATTGTTTTTGTACTTACGTTCTTATGATTTGGTCGGTTCTGTTACAGCTGGCATCAGAGCAAGATTCGACACTAAACATGTCATTTGTGTATTTAAAACAAAAGTATTTGTGAAAATTCTAAATTAAATACTAAGTATTGCCAGTGGCCATATCCCTTATGCCAAAATAAGGACTCTTAGGTGGCTTATTAAAATAATAACTTGGGGGTTCCTACTTGTTTCTGTTTCGTTGTCCATACGGCGTGCTATTGTATGGATGTCATCCGCTTGGGTGGTAATGTATGGATCAAAATACCTCTACGCTCTGGTAAGTGGGAGTTGTGACACTGCTGGAATTCGAGGAACTGAGCGAGGAGGAGCAGCAGCCAACACCGGAGGTTCTAGAGGTGCAGCCCTCAGGAGAGGTGCCAGACGAGGTCGCCGTTGAGTGCCCGGATCACCGTCCGTGCAACTTTGTGAAAGGCAAGCCCCAGAGCATATTAAGCCTCCTAATTTTCGAAATGCAGTTAAAGTATTATTGTTACATATATATATTGTTGCATTAAGTTTAGGTGTTGGATGCAAACACTTGCTGCATTGGTTATACAATCCTTGTCCAGATATTGATACCCTGAATCCTATGTAGCTCAGGCTCGCGTAGTGCTTAGCCCTGCTTAGACGCGGTAGAAGTCAGGTGATTTCCTGTCACCTGCGAGATATAGAAAGATACATATGGTATGGTTGGCTATATTTGCTATCGTGGAAAAGAACCTGTCTTAATTTGAAATGAAGACCGGACGGAGGCTTGCCGGTTTGTAGTGACTCCGTCTGTGTCGCTTAAGGACTGAATCTTGGAGCCTTTCCTGTTCATGTTGAACGCATGCCTCTCTCTTAGTTGGCCGTGTCCGAAGACCGACCACGAAGCCGAGTAGCCCACCTCAGTCCAGGAGTCGATAAGTATAAAGTGTGCCTCGGAAGGGAGCCGTAGGCGTGAGTCCAAGGGCAGGTGATTTAAAAGTCCTGATCGTCCTGGCAGAAGGGTAATCCCTAAGAGTGCTGGCGCTGATCGAACCCGTGAATTTGGTTCCTGAGTTGTCCCAAAGGTGACCCACGGCTACCCTTGCAAAGTATGCCAGGGTGAGAGTTAGGAATACCCCCTCAGCTAAGTTGTAATTCGATTCGAGTCGCCGTCTCTCCCGGTTAGTGAGAACTTGACTGGCTTATCTCCAAAGTAGATATACTAAATAACATAATGGTCAAGAAATGATGATATGATGATGACAGCCTTATTATACCTGCTATGGTTAATATTGATTGCTCCTAATAAGTGAGTACTCTAGTACAGGTGCTAATCTAGTGGACAGATAAATAATGATAAACTTGATGCTAAGTTTAAATTGGTCACTATATTCATAAGCTCTTTTATGCAACTGTGTCAAGCTAGCCCACCTCATAAGCCTTGCATGATCCTTGGTGTCTTTTATTTATGGTTTTGTCGGGTAAGTCTAGCTGAGTACCTTCTCATACTCAGGGTTTATCTCCCACCTATTGCAGATGACTAGTTCTAGTTTGGTTGCTACAAGTATTGCCTTCTTCTAGCTTGGGATGAAGACTAGACCGCTGGGCGCGGTCTCTCCTAGTTCTCGTATTTGAAGATGCTTTTGTGGGACATGACTAAGATCTGGCAATGTATTTGAAACTATAAAGTTATGTACTAAACTATGTTGCTTCCGCAAATTTAAACTTGGTTTGTAATATTTTATTTGAACTCTGATGGATGTAATCCGAATGCTACTTGTGAAATGTTGTAACGAATGATGTGTTGTGTTGAATCACTACGGTCTTGGTTTGTATGTCGAGAGTTGGTTGAAATCCTTCGTGATTTCCGGACTACCGGGATTATGGGAGCTTAAATACAGGAATTTGATCACTTCGGTGATTGTTTTTGTACTTACGTTCTTATGATTTGGTCGGTTCCGTTGGATCACTACGGCCTCATCCCCAAAATGCATGATGTGTTTGCGTCCTCCGTTGGAACCGGTTTTCAGCAGCTAAAAACACTGTGTAACCCATTTTAGGTTTGCGTCGCCGTTTGCATAAGGCGTTGGAGACAGTCTTATGCAGCATAACATGGGAATCAATAAACCAAGACCCTGGTGGCAGTCTCTTGTAAATTCACCAGAAAACAAAAAAAACACAAAACTCACCGTGCCATGTGCGAACTAAGATTTGAAGTCAGTAGCTCACACATTTTTTTATACAAGCATATGTGTAGACGACACAAGTCACGCGACGACCTACATACAAAGTCCGCATTTGCAATGCCTAAATTCCATCAACCATCATGGAGTCGTAACACTCGTAAATTGCAGTAAAATTTTGACGGTTTGACCCCACCACTATCATGAAAGTGAGGAATCTCCCACTGTCATAAAATTTCAACCACCCACACTTCCCGGCCTAAGGTAGCGTTTGGTTGAGAGGCGAAATGGAATGGGATGGTCCTGACTCTGTTTTCTGGAATAGGATGGTTCCTATTTCTGTTTGGTCAGTGGAATGGGATGATCCCTGTTTTATGTTTGGTTGGGAGGATAAAGTGAGACGGAGTGATCCTGTCTCATGTTTGGATGAAGGGATAGAGATAGGATATCTCCATATGATCACCTCCTTCATAATGTAGCTATACTTACCACCTTTTATATTGAGGACATACTGTTAATAAATAGAATGGCTTACCATTGCTATTGCATTCCGAAATCAGCACAGATATATCTAAAAAAAGACATTGCCATCTAAAATCACCACAAATATATCTAAAAAAGATAAATGCATATGTAACATTCAAGTGCACAGTTTGTCATAAAGGTCTTAACTCACATATATTAGCAAGTGCCAAGACTACGGGTCATGCCAAGTTATTGGACACAATAGAAGTTCAAGGCTTATACATAACAGTTCTAAGCCTTACAAACAGTATAAGTTTTAACCTACCACATAATATACAAACACATGATAGTAAATTCAAGGCTAGTCACAATATATAGTTCGAGCCTTGGAATTAGTTAACCACAACTAATTGTCTCATGTGGTGCAAGCAAAAGAAGCATTGAATTCCCTATTTCACTGTCCTGAGAACCTTGCAAGCAAAAGAACCATTGAAGCCCCTATTTCACTGTCCTGGGAACCTCTCTGAGACAAACATAGCCACCCACATCAACTTGTGGTCAAAAGGAATGTTGTAGAATGCGCGTCCCATGTCTTTGTTGGCCACCAAATACTGGTAGTACAGATTTAACTGGGCGGCATCAAAACCTAGAAGGTTAATCAATATGTTGAATAGATCATCTGGTAAATCATTGGTGGGCTGTGGTGGGGGTGCAGCACAGGCCTTCTCTATAGCTTCAGCAAGTCTGTCACCAACACGACTGATTACAGCAATCAGCCCATCCTCTTCATCCCCACCAACCCTAGCTTTCTTTGGCTTGCTTGCTGATGAGGTAGCCCCTTGATTAGAAGGAGAGGGAGTGGCCTCACTCTCACCATTTGCATTCAACTCACTCACAGTATTTGCATTCAGGTCTTCATTTTCATTGTCAGCTTCTTCAGTACCTAATGCTGAATTTGAGTCCTTGGCAAATTTTCCTGTTGCCATACTATTTCCAAAGATTGTCCGCATCTCACCATAGTTTGGAAGGTGCCTGTTCAAGAATTCAGCATCAGCCTTGTGATCCTACAATGGATAAATGGAAGTTTAGTTAGAAGCAAACAATTAGAACTTAACATGCTGGTTAAGTTTTTTGCAATTATACCTTAACATAATCATTGTAGTGCTCCTCATCAAGAGTGATAATGAAGTTGTCCTCATCCCAACTAGTAGCACTCACTTTCCTAAGCTTGGTCATCTTTGCAAACTTCCTTTGTTGTGTCTTCAAATGATTTTTAACTTGCTCTCCAGTCTTCATAGTCCTGAACTTTTCATTGACAGCTTTAGCACAAGTGTTCAAATGGACTTTCTTAAAGCCAGAACATGTCTTTGTGCCACTAGCCACCAGATTGGCTAGGTGAGTCGGCATAAAAGCGGTCTCTGGTGCTGTCCATACAGCATGTCCATTTGTTCCCTCAACTTCCTCGTTTAGGTCTGCCATGACCTATCATATACAAAACCAGGAAACACAAATGCCACTTGAGAAGTTATTTAGTAATTGTTTCTGGCAGACAAACAACACAGGTACAGGCACCAACTTGACGGACAAGAAAGAGAGAAAACCAGCACCCAAAACAAAACACATTCGCTGCAACGCACGTAGATGGCCATGGCGGTGGCGACATAGAAGACAAAGAAAGCCGATGAGACAAAAAAATTTAATCCACATTTTCAATTGTGAATTGTTGCTGGTGTGTCACCACCAATGAAGCCTGCATCTTTCGACTACAATAGGAAGAAGGATGGGACAACAAGAAAATTACTGCAGACCGAGCAAAATAGTGGAGACAAAAAATTCAAAGGAAACACAGCTGAAGACTGAATATCAGACCCTGAAACTTGAAACAATAATTCACACGTAACATTATTGAACTAAATTATGTGCTACTATGCAAACAAAAGCATGCAAGCAATAAAGTTTAATATTTAGGACTAAAATTGAAACACTAAATACTGAAATCTGAAACACTACAGACCTTTCACAAGAATTAGAGATCAAAAGTGCTGAACAACCAACATGCCGAGACAGCGCCTTTCATTATTATGAACCTGCTCACCTGAATACTTGTTCCAGCTGCTAATCAAGAAAAATCGGCTTGATGCACTGCTGCTGAGACGGTATATTTGAACACCTGAAAGAAAACCAAAGACGGACAAAGAACACACTGAAACTGAGTACAGGCAATTCAATAGCAACGAAGCAGAATTCGCACAGACAAGCACACAAAGCAGTGCTTATTAGCCTGCAGAAATATATTGAACCTGTCACTATATCGTGTAATTGCGCACCTTGCAAGGAAGAAAATAGAGCCAGAAACAATTAATAAATAACTTCTCAAGTTGCATGTTTCAACATAAATTACTTCTCAAGTTGCATGTTTCAACCAATAAATTTCAGCAAGGCATATGTCATACAAATTCCAGCGAGCTGTACATACATTTCAGCAAGCCATATGTCCATACAAATTAAAATCAGCACAGCTGATCCACAATTGTTTGTCTAAATACATAAAAATACATAGAGATACTATGTATTAATTTGCATAATGGTTTTGACGGTCTACCCACATCTGATCCGCAATTGTTTGTCTAAATTGAACGGTTGCATCATGCTCACTTGCCTGTCCAGTATATGATGTAGCATGGGTTTGCATTGGCCAATTCGAATCTTGAATGATGAACTCATCAATCCAATCTGCTATGAAAAAATTATGGACTATGCAGCAAGCTACAACAATATCTACTTGAGTTTGGAAAGGGAAGAATGGAGTTGCATCATCAAGAATTTTGAATCTCCTCTTAAGTGAACCAAATGCACGCTCTACGGTCACACGAAGAGACGAGTGCCTAAGGTTGAATAACTCCTTCTCATTTTGGACCGGATTATTCCCCCACTCATTCAAATGGTACCTAACTCCACGGAAAGGAGGCAAGAATCCCGGTTTGGCGCCATAACCGGCATCAACAAGATAGAATTTGCCTAGCATATTGTAGAAAAGGAGATCACATTTCAAGTTATCAAAAATTGGTATAACGAAATTAAGTTAGTGATTTTTTTTGTTACCTTGTGGAACACGAAGGCCATTAGGGCGTTCTAAAGCATCTCGCAAAACTAAAGCATCATGTGCTGTGCCTTCCCAACCAGCCAAAACATAAGTAAAACGTAGATCGAAATCTACGGCTGCCATTACATTTTGAGTTGCAAAGGACTTTCTACCACGAAACGAATGCTCCAAATCTTTAGGAACAGATGCTCTTACGTGTGTACCATCAATAGCTCCAATACAATCCTAGTTTATGTTCATCAAAGTAAAAATTAATTAGGGGCCAACACAAGGTTACATAATTTAAATGTGAAACAAAGGTAGGGATAAACCTCACACCTTAAAATAAGGATCCCACCGATAGTTTCCGGCAATTTTGGACGTAGTTTGCAATGATGGGGGCCTAATAAATTCTGTTCGTAGCTCTCCAATGGCACGAAGGACATTGTTGAAATAGCGGCTTACTGTTTCTCCTGACCTTTTATAATTAGTGCCAACTAATCTATTTCTAAGGTTGTGCCCTACTGTATTTAGAAACATAGCCACCTGTTGCTCAACACACATATGAGTGGTATCTTGAAGCAACCCTCGATCTCTAAAAAGGTTACAAAATCGATAGAAACATGCTCTATTAAGTCTAAGCATGTTTACACAAGTTGTATCATCCTTCCAAATGCAACTGTCTAGGTATTCTTGTCTAATTCTATCCCTTTCCTCGATTGGCGCATAAGTAATACCAACTCTACTGGCACGTCTTTTTCTTTTTCTAGACTGAATAACCGTGGCCACCATGAACAAGAACATATATGCAGCAGCTGAACAAATTAGAACCTTGGTTCTCTGATCCATCTACAATGCAACAATCAAAGAAAGAAAAACAATATTGTCATGTCATGCTCAAACACAGATCAGAAACATAAGGCAACTTAACATCTGGGAACACCAGAGTCAATACCAATGAGCCATTGCCACTGTGGCAGACTGGCAGATGTGTTGCCATTCAGTACATAAAAAGTGGTAAATAGTTAAATAATCTGTGGGCATAGCGCATACTACATTAACCTGGATACTACTTCGGTCTGATAACTGATAGAGAGTGTTTTGTTTGTCACTGATAAATTTGCTAGTACTTGTCGTTATATTTTTTTTCTTTTCAATGTCATACTAAATATGATGAGTAACATATACTTGTAACCAAAACTTTTTCTTTGGATGTTACCAGAACTATATACCAAATAGAAAAATTGCAAATATTTCTTAAGCATCCACAGGACGCTAGGAGCACAAATGAATGAATAGCCTGAATCCATAAACAAATGTTGGACTGAACATCGTCATACAAAGGGTACATCCTTGCATGGCGATAGTACAGATCCAGGCAAACTGAATTCAGCGGCTCAGCGCAAACAGATACATGTACTCAGGGGCATGCAGCAACACTCATCTACTTACTAGCGCTACAGCGTAGGGAAAAAATTCCCATTGAACTTTGCTGATTTTTTACCATATGCAGAAGCAAACATGTCTCAAGCATAAATCACATCATACTTGTTGAACTACTGGAGGCAACAAAAAAATCTGTTAATGGAGATCACAAATCTTGGGCAAATCCATTGTGTTAGGGTTTGTATACCTTGGGCAAATCACAAATCTGCTAATGGAGAAGGAGGACGAAGCTGCCGGACGTGTGCCGCACCGCCGCCGCCGACCACAGGCTGCGCCGCCGCTGCCGACCACAGCCCACGCCGCCGCTGCGAGGGCCGGTGCCGCGCTGCCGCCGTGGGGGCCGGTGCCGCGCCGCCGACGCGCCGCCTGGTGCCGCGCCGCCGCCAAGTGCTGTGGCCCCACGTCCCGCGCCGGTGAAGGATGCGCCGCCTACAAGCTCTCGCCCCCTCGTGCCTTTTTCCGAGAAAGAACCGAGTGAGACTGTCGGTGAGAGGTGAGAAGGAACGAGAAGAAAGCAGGGACCGCCCCCGTCCGTGAAAAAAAGTGGGATGGGAGTCCAGGAATCTGAGGAGAATATGCTTAGGTGGGATGTCTCCGTCCTTGGGCTGACTCCCATCCAAACAGCCCAAATCCCAGGTCCATCCCATCCCACCCCTACAAATCCCTCCAACCAAACGCATGGTAAGTTCTCCCTCCCAATCTCCCATGCCCAGCTCCACTACCACTACGACCTACGAGCTGAAGTGAACCAGATTAGCCAGACAAAGCCATGGCAGACAGCGCAGACCCACCAACTCGAAACGAAACGAAACAATCACAGACGAACCGGAGGATGAGGAAGATAGCAGCAAAAGCGACGGGATTCCGCTCGCTTCTTCGCTCCCTCATACACCTTTGCCCACCACTTCCCTTAGCTCCTAAGCAATTGTTCATGGCGACCGATGAATGTAGGCATAACCATGGTCATACTGATAACTACTGATTGCAAGCAGCAATAATTCACAAAACCAGCAGCTTCCTCTAAAGTAAGAGCTCAAAATTTTGAGACCAAAAAAAGAGCTCAAAATTTACCACCTAACCACATGAACGAAACCAAACCCCACAGATTAGGGAAATTAGAATCGACGCACAGATCCACCCACTTAATTTAACCGTCTCCACTGGATTACAGCTTCGGCGGCGGCGGCTTGGTTCCTACACGCTTAGCCCGTCCACGCCGCACTGCTTGTATTTCAGCGACTGGCTCCTCGGGCTGATGGCGATCGTGCAATCCACCGACACCTGTAGATCGGGGTTCGTTCACACATCACGTCAGTTTCGCCCGCTGAGGTGTTTTTTAGCAGAGGCTAAAAACACTTGCGGCGGAAGCGAACGGAAGTTGTTGGTTCCCGTTGCGGGTGGCGTGTCGATTTCGTACCTGCACTTTTGGGGAGGAGAAGCCGAGCACGAGGATCTTAGCGCCGACGTCGCCGGTGATGCGGAGCTCGACGCGGTCGTTGATCGCGGCGTCGCGGATGAGATCCTGCGCGTCAGTCTGGAGCACGTTGAAGCGGTCGACAATGACGCGGGTCTGGAGCAGGCGGGTGCTGTGCGCGGGCTGCTCGAACCCGGGCACCGCCGCCACCCCGAGCGGCACCCCGTGGTACATGACGTCGAACGCCGTCGCGCCGTACCGGATGCCCACCTTGTTGGGGTTCTCGGCGGTGAAGAGCAGCGTAATGTTGAGGGAGAGGTAGGCGGCGCCGGGGGCCGCGGGGGGCACGCCGGCTGGGGACGCCGCCGCGGGGGACGTGGGCGAGGCCACGAGGAGGTACTGCACGGACACCTGGTTGAGGTCGAACTGCGGCTTGCGGGGCTTCACCACGAGCACGACGACGAGCGCGACGGCCAGGGCGAGGAGCGCCAGGAAGGTGAGCAGCAGGAAGAGGCAGCAGCAGCAGCCGCGGAAGGAGGCGGACCCGCCGCCGTACCCGTAGTGCGGGCGGCGCTGCGGGTACCAGGACCCTGCGCCGCCGTGGCCTTGGCCGTCGCCGTTGGATCGGGTCGTCATGGTGCCGGCCGCCGCCCCGGGGGTCGATGGGAGGAGGGTTGGGGAGGGATGGCTTTGGATTTTTGGAGCCTACTGGGGCATTTGCGACTGCGGGGTGCGGTGGTGGAAGTGCGGGCGGAGGCCGAGGGGAAAGTTTGGCGAGGCGAAGTGGAAGTGCGGGGTTTGGGGGCCAGAGCGGGCCAGAGCCCGCAAGTGTGGGGAAATAGGCGGTGGGGACGGTGGGCGTGCGTAGTGGGAGCGTGTACGTGTGCGCCGGTTTTCTTTCTTCCCGTTGTTCCTTCGAACGCCGTTTATTCCGCTTGGGAACTGGGATTTCAGGAGTCGAGACCTGTGTTTGCCTGTCTGGAGTAGGGGAGAGGAATGACGTGCCGATGTTCTTCCTCTCGCCTCTTTTTGAGTTTATATCATGGAAAAATGAATCCGATTTCAGGAAGGGAGGGAATAAGATTGCCATCTGGCCCCAGATAAAACACTTAACACCAAGATCGCTTGATCGTTTCTGTGGCTTATAAACTGACTGATTCTATTTTGGTGTGAGAGAAAAATATTGTATCATTGCTAAGCATCCAGCTTTTTCTGGTAGACATTACTTCGCGCTGTCGAGTTTTTCTGAACAAGGAATGCGCCATGACTTGCAAGTTCCAACACATCCTTTGAAGCTTCCATGTCTGAACGATTGGCTATACGCGATTCCATTTTAGAAGTCAACTCATATTTGGATTTTCTTCGGCTTCAAACCCAATATGCTATAGCTGTGTGCTTGGTATATTTACCAAGACAAATTGCTTACATTTTCTATAACTATATATATGGATTCCTACGTAAAATGATTCGGTAAGTTGATTGAAGATCATTCTGTGGATAGAATATTTACCTGTTTTGATGATGAAGCTGAAGCTTCGTCTTGGAAAACGGTCCGGTCAAAGGCGTGCTCCTAAAGATGTCAACGGGGCCCCATTCCCCGATTCCCCGAGGAGAATTCATCCATTAGGGGACGGGGATGGTATAAATTTTCTCCCAATGGGGAATTAAATGGGGAAAAAATCATTCCTGTCGGGTATGACGGGGACGGGGATGGTATGCATGCCCCCGTCCCCGTTCAACGCGGGACCCGATGCCTCCCTCTCCCTCACGCCCTCACGCCCCTGATAGCGGCACGCCCCCGACGCCTCTCCCTCTTCCTCCCTCCACTCTCTCTCTCTCTCTCTCTCTGCGCGCCCTCCCCACCAAGCGCCTCCCCCTCCCCATCATCGGCTTCCCCCTCCAACTCAACCTGGTGGTGATCGCACCCTCCCCCCGGCCGAGGGCTCGTGGCCGCGAGGCCTCCCGAATCAGAGCCGGCGCCATGTGATCTCCTCTCCATCCCGGCCTGGATTCGAGCACGGCGCGACCAGCTGACCCGCCTCGCAAAGCCTAGCTTCCCCTCTCTCCTCTCCCATGCGCCTAAACCCTAGCTTGTCACCCGCCCACGCCCACCACCCATCATGCGCGCCTCGCCTCCACGGTCCCCATGGAAGCCTCGCCCGCCCAGAGATCCGCCATGCCAGCCCCGACCCCGATGGCGCCAAGCCGCGCCTCCACTGCCCGCCGCTTCCTCCAATGGCGCCGCCAGGATGCGTTGCTCACCGATGAGCTGCTTTCGGCCATCACGGGACCAGCGCGAGGAGCTCACCTTCAACTCCAAGCCCATCATCACCAACCTCACCATCATCGCCGGCGAGAGCCTCCAGGTTGATGCGGGGATGGGGAAGAAGTGCTCCCCACGAGCCTTCACGGGGACGGGGACGGGGATGGGGCAGTAACCCCCGACGGGTGGAAATGTCAACGGGGAATTCCCGCGGGTGTTACTGCCGACCCGAGGGGACTGGTTGGACCACGTAAGAACAGGCCCCGACCCGGCTGTTAGGGTTAGATCTGAATCGATTCGTTCTATTTCGCTTCTTCACCGTCAGAACCCCTCTTCCTCCCGCGATCCTATATATAAGCCTCGCTTTGTGGCTCATTAAGACCTCCGTCGACCTGCATGCGACACTGGTCGCGACCTCATTAATCACAAGCCATCGCCATTCCAGATCGCCATGGCGGGACGGAGCCCCACCATGGGGCTCATGAGCTCCCGAATATGCGCCATTCCCGGCCAAGACAAGCTCGAGGTCACAGACCACCACCTCGAGCGCGAGGGAGCTTTGGAGGCCATAAAGCGCCTCCTAACCCCGATCACCAGCTCCCCGGCGCGGCGGCTCTTAAGACCGTGCAGAAATCGAGGAAGCCATCATGAAGCCACGACCGGCCGTCGTCGCATCCGTAGGATCCACGCCCGCATGGTCCGCGTCCGCTGGGGCCGCACTCGCCTCTCCTCTTGCTCAATTCGGCAGGAAGAAGAAAGACCGAGTTTTTTCAGTTTCTTATGTGGTCCAACCAGACCAGGTCGGGGGCGGACCCAAGTGTGGCTTAGGGACATCGGATGTCCAAAATAAAAATTTCTCTCTCCTCAACCGGTTGAAACTGGGCCGCGGTGTTTTATGGCCTAATTTCAACGAACCAGAGTGTCTTTTTGGCAAACTGCTCCAAAATGGGTGTCCGTCAGCAAATGACCATCACTTTGGATGTCCGCCAGACAATTGTCCCATGATATTAAGAAATGCATTATCAGATCAATTCCATATAGCTATACTTCTAATTATGTTGCTACTGTAATGTTACTCTAACATGATCAAAGCGTCTTGAGACTATGTAAATTTCCAAAACAAGGAAATAAAGTTTGTAATAAGTCACAGTCGCAGGAGAGAAAATCTCTCCACAAGAGAGAGTAAATGAAAAGCAGTGTCAATTTTGCAGATTGTGACAAGGTTGGAGCTAGTAAGGGGGTGTTTAATCGTTGAGGAGAAAATTTTTAGGTGTCACATCGGATGTGTCAGGAGGATGTCGGAAGGGGTTTTTGGATACTAATAAAAAAACAAATTACAGAACCCATCAGAAAACTGCGAGACGAATCTAATGATACTAATTAATCGGTCATTAGCACATGTAGGTTACTGTAGCACTTAAGGCTTTTTATGAACTAATTAGGCTTAAAAGATTCGTCTCGCGATTTTTAACCAAACCGTGTAATTATTTTTTTTGTCTACATTTAATGCTCCATGCATGTGCCGCAAGATTCAATGTGACATTTTGGGTTGAAAATTTTTGTGGCCGTGTTTAGTTCCAAAAAGTTTTTCCAAAAAGTGTTACAGTAGCCATCACATCGAATCTTGCGATACGTGTATGGAGCATTAAATGTAGACGGAAAAAAAAATTAATTACACAGTTTGTTGGGAAATCACGAGACGAATATTTTGAGCCTAATTATTTCATGATTGAACACTAATTGTCAAATAAAAACAAAAATACTACAGTAGCCAAATTTTTAAATTTCGCGCAACTAAACGAGGCCTACGTGACTGCGATGGTCTCAGCTTGCCTATAACTTGGTCGTAGGTGAATAGGTGATACTTTTCTGAAGCCAACACTTTTCTTGCCTCGCGTTGGTGAAGCCTAAGGGCACCTCTAGTGCTGCTGCGAACCATACGGGTCGGCAAGGACGAACAAAAGAATGGTTAACGTGGACATCGGTCGTGGACCCCATATACACGAATAAATATATGATTCCGTCTAGCTCGTCCCCCGCGTGGTCGTCTGCGGTGGCCAGAAACAAGTCCGTACGATATATATATTATTCAACTCGTCCAATGTTCATGGTTCGCTTTCATTTCTTCACGGTTCGATTTTCAGCAACACTGGAGCTGCTCTAATTAGCTTTCTTCTTTTTCAGTTCATGTCCACATATACAATGGGTAGAATACTTTGTTGCATCGTCGGGCGCCAAAGTCGGTGGCGCAGGTGCTCCAAATCAATGAAGATGAGATTATCACGTGGACTGCGGCGGCGTACCGGCACTTGGGTGCGCTAGACTCGCTTGGTCTGGCGGATTGAGGTTGTTCCTCGTCTTAGTCGCGAATTATGTGTATGTGTAATTACAACGTGCGAGTCTGGTGAGGGATGGCTAACGGTAATCTTTAGATTACTGTTTGGGTGTATTGGCTCTAACAAAACTCTATTCATCTGCTTAATGAAATACGTGTCTAAGCACGTTCTCGAAAAAAAGAATACTTTGTTGCATCGTCACATGCTTTTAAATTTATTTTGATTGATTTTTGTCAGGTTGCATTTGGCAACGTACCGGCACAAACGTAGCCATGGAAAACAATAAAAATAATTTGAGGATGATCTAGCCCCTCAGTAAAACACTTAAAGCAGCGATGAGTTTCACTTTTTATGACATGTGCTGTCGAATTTCCCTTCCAAGAGAATACGCAATGATTTGCAAGCTATAACACGTCCTTTGAAGTTGAACCTTCCTGGTTTGAACACAATACCTAGCTACCAACACACGATTTCTTCATCTAAAAAACCTACACGTGATTCCATTTTGGTAGTCACTTTATATCTGGATTCACGGTTTGAACTCTGAAACCTCAGACGGTGATACGCCATAGTTGGTTACCTGTGTGAGCAGGGTTTTTCCAAGGAAAATACTGCTTGAATTTTTGTGAATATAGATTCCTATTTTTCATTTTGAGAATGTTGACCGGACATCATTCTACCGAGAGAAGATTTTGATTTTTTTTTTTTGTGAGCAAACCGAGAGAAGATTTCGATGGAACTTCGTCTTGAGACGGTCCACCAAAGAATTTTATCCAGGACGCTGCTTCTCGCGGCAGGCCCAAGAGAAAAAGAGAAAAAGGCCCAAGACCTTACACTCTCCTTGGCACCTTCCCCGTTCCTCTCCTCCAGTCCTCGCGACCCTTCTTCCTGCTCGAGAGTTCTGACCAAACCTGCTACATCCAGCCGACCAAATCGCTGTGGAAGGTCGCACCATGGAGGCGGCGGTGGAGAAGAAGGAGACCGAGCAGGAGGAGCAGCAGCTACCGCACGCGCGGAAGGATGACGCGCCCGCCGCCGCCGAGGAAGACGAAGCGGATTCGGAGGAGACCGAGCGCCGCAACCGCGACCTCAAGGCCGGCCTCCACCCCCTTAGGGTAAGATCCCGCCGCAGCTAGATCTGTCGCACGCCTCAACTAACTGGAGACTTTGCACCCCACATCACCGTTGTGCGTGGTAGATTGTTTGGTGAGATTGTACAAGTGGATTTTGACTCACTGAATTTTGGCTGCGTGTCTGCAGCGCAAGCTCGTGCTCTGGTACACGCGCCGGACGCCTGGTGCGAGGTCGCAGGCGTACGAGGACAACATCAAGAAGATCATCGATTTCAGCACAGTATGTCTCTCAGATGGTTGTAGTTGTTGTGGGGGATTCCTAATTTCAGTTCAGCTGACTGCTGTTTCCTTTTTTTTTAATACTCGAAGGTCGAATCGTTCTGGGTTTGCTACTGCCACCTTGCGCGCCCTTCTTCCCTGCCGAGTCCCAGTGACCTTCATCTCTTCAAGGATGGCATTCGTCCCCTCTGGGAGGTATTATTCAGAACGTGTCATTCTCTGTTGTCTCTCTGTCTACGTGTTGTATGTCTGTCCCTGTGGCTAGTGGTTAATGGTTTTCAATTGGCCAGGATGCTGCAAATCAGAATGGTGGCAAGTGGATAATTAGATTCAAAAAGGCAGTTTCAGGTCGATTCTGGGAGGATTTGGTAAGTGAACTTGTGCTATCAATGTATGTGTTTTTACAAGATCGTTTGCTGCGGTTGATCATATTTTGGTTAAACCTCAAACTCATCCATTACCTGAGCATTTACTCTATGATAGTACATAGTTACTTTGGCCTGTTTGATACAATATGGAGAATGATCTTATCTTATTATGATCTCGTCCACCTTGGTAGCATCCTACCATTTTTTGTGATGAATCACTCTTTGATTGGCAAGCTATCATATGGAATGCCATGGTGATAGACCAACCCATTCTTTCATGTATTGAAAGCCAATCAAGATAATCTTTTCCTAGTCCTCTTTTGTTTACAGAATGAAATGGGGTAGTAGTTATTCCTCATGACCAAAATGTAGATAAGAAATGAGGGGCATGATCAAGCCATTAAAATCATGTGATGGCAAGTTGAACCCATGATGAAACAAAACAAGCTTAATGGTAGGATTGTTTTTATGCTGCGAGACATGTTTTAGTGTGGATCAATTTGAAAGTTGAAACTAGTTCCAACCATATTCTCTGCTGTTATATGTTATTATGGCTGAGCTTTCTTGCATGCCATATCTATAGTTTACATGGTTCTACTGAGCCATATTTCTTCAATATGTTTGTTGTGCTTAAATTAATTTAATTGAACTACATATTCATTTTGCCTGAACTTTTGTGCTGTGAGCTTTGATTTGGACTTTAATTGTGATTCGGCGATGGTATTGTGAATGCGATTCATTTCCTTACCTGCTAACATTTGTGAAAATAATATCAAATGTCATTTTGCTTGCCTCCTGCATGTGAACTTAATGAAATTTGCCTGCACAAAATGGATGCAAAATGTAGATCGATAGCCATAGTATCTGTGTTTTTACATGTTTGGCTCGACATATGTTTTCCAATCTCTATTGTGCAGATGTTTCCTTAGTTTCCAACTTGCTATCTTTTATTTTTTAAAAAAATTAAAGAGCAACACGTGGATAATAGCTTGATGTCCAAGTTGATTGAATGGGCAATTGAACACTGTCAACAGATTGCCTAATTTTGCACTCTAAAAACACTTTCTTTGGTTCAATGGTTCAGTCATGCACAGTAATGAAGTTATTGAAGCATGGCATTCCATTTTGTTTCTTGCATTGTATGCTAGATGCTACTATGCCTTGGTGACAGATGAGTTCACAGGGGACATACAAAGAGAACCCTATGGTGTTTGCTTTTTTGCTGACGAGGTAGTGATCCTGAAAGATGTGGGTGTTGGGCGTGAGTAGATAACTAGAGTTGTGGCTGCAAACTCTAGAGTTAAAAGGTTGTAGATTTAGCAGAACTAAGACTGATTATATGAGGTGTGACTTCGGCACACTAGACATGAGGAGGGAGCTGTTAGTTTGGAGGGTCAGGTACTGCCCAAGAAGGATATCTTTTGATGTTTTGGAATTTATGCTACTGAGAGATGGGGATATCAATGAGACGATGAAGATAAGAGATGAGGATATCGATGAAGATGTTAGCCATAGAATCAAATAGAACGGTCATAGACATTGACCTGCTATGTTGTATGGTGCAGATTGTTGGCCTACTAAAACGCTTTGTTGTTGTCGTTACTTGTGTTATATGCTAGATGCCTAGATGCTACTAAATGGATGTTTCTGAAATTGATGTTTTTTATGCCATCAAGTCATCAAGTGTATCTTTAAGTTTTGACTACTGATAATATAGTTATTACAAGATGGAGCATTTTTGCCAATCATCCATGAATTAACATAGAACAATGAACAATCAACTGACCTTTTTGGTTATATTGATTTGCAGAAACATCTAGTAGACTGACTAGATTCATATTGTGGTCATGTCTGATCCATTGATTTTTTTTTTTTTACATTTGTGTTTATTAGTATGATTTCTGATGGGATTAAGAGGGGCTAGAGCTGAAACTGGGGGGATACAAATACCCCCTTCCTAGTTGTCATTCTTTTATGCGTTGTTTTGCACTCAAATTAAGAGAGAGAGAGACAGAGACAGAGTAAAGTTGCTTCTTTTTGCACTTTTTCAGTCTTCCAATCCATGCCTACAACATTTGTACCATTTAGGCATATAATGGCACTATCTCTTTGTTTCATGTCATGACTGTTAAGCATCGAAGCCACATTCACACAATGCACTGTTACACGGGGAAGTTGTTCCGTTCAGTCTCTGCAGCCAATAATTTTTATAATGTTATTGCTATAAAATTTCCTCATTGGCATCAGGCTTGATGCCTGAGTGTACAAAATGTGTTCATGGCGTAGATTGATTTCCATATGTATGATGGTTTGAATTTCAATTCTGTTTACCAATATATTTATGATCTCCAGGTGCTGGTGCTAGTAGGCGACCAACTTGAATATAGTGATGATGTTTGTGGTGCTGTGCTTAGTGTCCGTTTCAATGAAGACATTCTGAGCGTCTGGAACCGGAACGCATCAGACCATCAGGTTAATTACAGCACATGATACTGCTCAGATATGATTTCAGGCTGTGTTACTCATTCATGTCCTTTTGCTGTTCAGGCTGTGATGGCATTGAGGGATTCTATCAAGAGGCACCTCAAGCTGCCACACAGCTATCTGATGGAGTACAAACCACATGATGCTTCGCGGCGTGACAACTCGTCCTACAGGAACACATGGCTGAGAGGATAAGCCCCCATGATTGTCGCCAGCTTCGGTACTATTTCACTGTGACGGTTCTGAAGCAAATAGACTCTTTTATGTACCAAGAACGCAGACTATTATGCAATGTACTAGTCAAAAGCCGCTACATTGTTAAAAAAAAACGTTCAACAATCAAGTTTATGATGATCTAATGGTTTTTGCAAAAGCATCGAAGTGAATGTTTAGGGTTTGCGTCTGTCTTTGGTTCTGTTGGTAATTGCTACAGAAATGGTAACCAAGATATTACGTTGATTTCGATGGAATTGGGTTCAGTTTGAAGCGAATGAGATGACCGTGGCCTGTATTAGCAGTCTATTGGGCACGCGCTACGAATGGCTTCCTGTTCCTGTCTCATCTTCGAGCTCGCCGCGCTGAACACGATGTCGCCTCACGTTTCGCACGCGATGTCGTCTTGCCGCTAGGCCGCTACACAGACTCTCCAAGCCTCGGCTCACAACAGCACAGCCCGTTAGTGGCCCATGGATAAGGCCATCTTCCATTCAACGATAATCCAGGGGCCCATAGCTAGTACGGTTAGAAAATTTTACGGGGAGACCTTTAACCAGAGTCCCTTTCGTCCCGGGCCATACCCCCGCCCAAAGTCCCTGCCCTCGGTTGCGGCGCCCGCCTCCACCGCGCGCAGCGCGCAATATGACGCGCGCCCGCGCAAACCACCCGCCTTCGCACTCCGCCGCGCGGCAAACGTGAAGTGAAGCTAATCCAACTCCAACACCACCTCCCGCTGTACTGGTACGCCTCGTTCCCAGCTCCCGAAACCCAAACCCTAGCTCTGACCCACTGCGATTCCCCATTTGATTTCTCGTACCCATGGGCGGATCCGCTGATCCCGAGGCGCCGTCGCCGTCGCCGTCTCCGGCGAAGCCATCGCCCTCGTCGGCCGACGGGAAGCAGCTGAGGCGGTGCGTGCAGTCGAAGCTCTCGTGGGGGCTTGTCAAACCGGCCGGCGGCGGCCGCGAAGGTGGAGGAAAAGGAGGCGGCGCCGGTGAAGCAGGAAGAGCAGATGCGGATGCTGTTCCTCCCGTGCCTGCGGCTGAGGAGGAGGCGGCGACGAAAGTTAGAGAGGAGCCGGAGAAGGGGAAGAAGAAGAGAGAGCCGCGAAAATCAGAGAACGGGAAGAAGGTACATTGCCCATTTCAGCTGCTGATTTGTGTCTTCTCGTTGAATTGTGCAGGTGGAGAATACAATTTCTGTTCAGTCGAATGTTGATAGATATAAGCATCTTGCCTGCTTCTGCTGTTCGATCTACTTAGTTTGTCTAGGGGGATACCATGCCATTGTTTTGTGTTACGTACATTTTTCTGGTTATTGCTGATGCCCGATAATGATGCACTTCAACTTGGATAAGGAGGTAATTCTGCAACCAAGCGAACCAACAACGTAGCTAAAATCCTACCTGGATAGCAGTCCACAGTAGACACGCCAAACTCAGTCTCTCCCGACTTAAATTGAACTACATCTGTTTCATTTTCTTTTTTGGAAAGGGCCTGCAGAACTTTGGTCTTTAAATTTTGTTTTGGGTCCTTGTTCATGCTTTGTACTACATCTGTTACTTCATCAATACTCCCTCCTTTCCAAATTGTAAGTTGTTCTGGCTTTTTTAGATACATAGTTTTTACTACGTATCTAGACATAGTGTATATCTAGGTCCATAAGAAAAGCTACATATCTAGAAAAGCCAAAAACGACTTACAATTTGGAATGGAGGGAGTAGAAATGATGGGACACCACCCCTTTTTTTTGGCCTGTTCGTCTTTATGCCTTATGTTTAGCTTTTAAGATAAGAAAATATGTATCCTTTCATTCCAACAAATAGGTACCTGTTTGCTATTCAGTTCACCTTTTTTCTTGTGCCTCTAGTTAAAATAGTTATTTTCTTTACCAAACTTTTGTAGCCCTCTTCAAACAAAGAGAAACATGGGCAGGATCCTGCTAGCAAGGATGAAGTCATTTTGGTTGGTATGTCGTCCTGATACCTTTTTTGCAGAACTATTGTCATTTCTATAATCCTTTACCAGTCTGGTCATCAAATTTTGCTTGTTATTTGTGTATGAGAAGCAATACAGTCGTGCTGACAGAATTCTGTGTCTCAATGTTGCCCCGTTGAAATTTAGATGAAAGCCCTCAGAAAAAGCAATGTAAAGGCAGAAAGCAAGATGCAACACCGAAGGTGCCTAATGCTAGCAGAAAGCGTTGCAAGACATTGGAATCTCCTGATGGTTACGTCTTTCTTTTTATTCTATTTTCTTTAGATGGTACTGATAGTTAGTTGGAACCCTCTTATCAATACTCACACCTGTTAAAATTTCCCAACCTGTTAGTTTGCATTATAAAGAAGTAGTAACGATGTTATACAATCTGCAAGTTTGAAATGGTAGACTTTCCATTATATCGCTGTGTGAAAACAATGTTCAAATATTGAGAAATTTTATATTTACTTGCGTAGTATTTTAAATCTGTTTATGATTGCATACCTGCTGCATAGAATGATGTTTCTGTACACTGTATAACACATGCTGTTTTTTTTTCTTATGATGCATATTGTGGTGGTGATAATAAATATTCCAAAAATTGCATGTATCTCTGTTTTTGCACTTATATCCTTCTTATTATACTATACAATTTATTGAATATTATTTGTGGGTTATGATTTGATGCCTGTATCAGTTATAGTTCACTTCGACAGAAGTATAAATAAATATTTTGCTCTGAAGGTCCTGGAAGCTGTCAGCAATTGCATATCAGCCAGATTGAAGCCGGCTCGCCTGTAGCAGCGCCAGTAATAATTGACATTGATTTGATGAGTACGCCTTCTAAAGCAGGACATGCTAATCCAGTCAATCAGGATATATCACCGTTGAAAGTTGACCTAAGGTCAGAGGCGAAGATGGCAGCAGAGGTATGGTCCATCGGCATTGGTGAGATACATTGTGTGCTATTGTGCTGATGTTTTTAAGGTTTTATTCTTTGCTTTCCCTTTGACTTATTTCTTGTTAGCTTGTTTCAAATCTTTTTTTAAGGGAATGTTTCAAATCTTGTCTGTTATTTGATAAATTAATTGATGGCGTCTCTACCTCCTACTATTGTCACAATTAATGCTAGTCTATGTTTACATCTGTTTAAATGCCACCCTATGAAACAAGTATGGGCAGAAAGAATGCTATGCGCCTATGCTGTATCCTCCTTTTCATTTTCCTCTCCTTGATCTTTCAATGTTCAGTAGCAGCTTGTTATCTTAAGTGTATTTCCATCTCCATACAGGTGCTCTAGTTGCAACTCTAGTTGTTTAATCTCCATACAGGTGCTCTAGTTGCAACTCTAGTTGTTTAAGGAAAAAAGCACTTCTGATTGCAGTTGCCCCTCTTTTTAGTTGACTTTGTGTTTACAATATTGTTGCATATGTTCTTTTTTCAATATAAAAGTATATTTTGATTTCATTGCCAGGAAATTCGAAGGTTATCATCTGGAAAGAAAATGCACCCTTTCTTTGCTTCTCGGAAAATGAACAAATGTGCTAACCAAGATCAAGATGTTATCAATATTGAAAATGTGAACGGGCTTTGTGATTCTGAGAGGGACCCACCATTTTATCCTATTCATGTTGTGTACCAATCAGAGGTATGCCAAGCAAATGCATGTTTTGTATATTTTCTCAGAAGTTATTATATCATTACTCGTGGTCAAGTGAAGAGAAATGTTTTTTTTTGTAGGCCAGTATACCGATCCACTGGAGTAATTGGATAATCACTGATCTGTCTTCCTTTGACGCTGATACTGCCTCTCTTAAAAAATCAATGTCATTCTTTGAGGGCTTGGTTAAACCACTGACAATAGAAACTAATTGCAAGAGGCATTCTAATCAATTGGCAGAGCCGATTCTTGCTGAGTGTACAACTTCAGGAATGCCTTTTGCTAGTTTTACTGACAAGCAAAGTGAACACAGCTGTCCTTCAGATGCGGTAGAATTTCCTGTTCATCTAACATTTTATACATAATAAGAGCTATATTTGTTCTCTCATAGTTTATTGTTCTAATCATGCACTGATTTGAAGTTGTGCTTCACAACTGTTTGAACTGTCCAGATCAATGTGGAGAACCAGAACTTGTTGATGCCTGGTGCTAGTTGCCAAGCTTCTCTTCTTGATCTGAATGTAGAGCCAGAAGTTCCACAGAATGGGTAATCAACATTATGTATATTTTCCCTAAATGTTGCAGTTTCCTTCTAGCTGGTCTGGTAGTATTTTCACAACAAAATTGGAATAAGTTCTTGGAATCTTATTAGCCAATGTTAATCAGAATGACCATGCCAATTGGCCAACAGCCCATGCTATCAATACATCAGCTATTCCATGTTAATGCCTGCTCAAAGAGTTCGGGTTACTCAGCATTAAGATAGTTTCTCTTCTAAGACTGAAGGTCCAAAGTACAACCAATAAGGATTTTGCTTGTCCACTGAGATATGAAATTGCCCTCAAACTATGGATGGATATTTTTTTTGCCTTTTGCTTTTTTTTGGTAGTCAAATGAAGTTGCAGCCTTGTTTTATTTTGTAGCAGATTTTAACTTGTTTGTACCTCACTAATCAATTTACAGGGACTTGCTTTCCTCACGCTTGTTCTAACACTATAAGCTCCTATCTCCTTGTCATAATCCACCTAACTATTCATCAGGAACTTCAGGCCAACCAAATTTTAATCCAAATAGACGTATTGGCAAAATAACTGGTAGTTGTTTTTTTAATCTTCAAATCTTTAACTGCACATAACATAGTATTTTCTATCGCAGTTGTCAGCCTACCTATTACCTATGGACTGACAAGTACCGACCTGAAACTGCGGCCCAGGTGAACATCACTATTTGTGTTTGTACTGTCCTTTATGCATAATATGAAGATAAGCAATTGTGCAGCTCATTTCCCAATTATCGCTTCTATTTCATTAGCCTTTTCTGCGAAAATTCTTCATTTAGGAAAGCGCAGATCAATGTTTGTAGTATGCTTACATTTCGTCTTAGGTTACTGCTATATTTGGTTAAGCAGGTATGTGGAAATAGTGAGCATGTAAAGTTTCTCGCCGAATGGCTCAAAGGTTGGGATGAAAAAGGCCACAAGATTGGAGCTGCTAATGGGGACACTAATGATAGCTCATATCAAGATGAATCTGATTCAGATTATTCAGAGAGTCCTTCTGATTGTGAAAACACACTTCTAATCACTGGACCAGTTGGGGTGAGTGCCACTAAAGAATAATTGGCATTTGAGCTGCATGCTTCATTTAAATGCCTTTGAGCTAGTTTGTCATGTATATACTGATGCTAGTAGTGTTTTTTTTAATGAATGTGTGTCTGGTTGTCTGTACCGAATCCCATCCTAAAGGACACCATCCCAAAAAGGGGAATGTTTCACGGATCAATGAACCTTTTTTCTGGAAACTACTATCTGATATGCTAGTGCTTCCCAATTCCCATTTTATAATTCAGGAAAATACCTCAATATCTCACTCTTCATTTACTTTTAAATGTTTAAGGTCAAGGCTTGTCAGCTACTCTCTCCATTCTGCAATGACCCAGGTGCTGGGTTTTGCTTTGGAGGAGCATCGCTGTGGGTTTTGGCTGGGGCCGGGGGCTTTCATTCTTAGCAGCCCCCCCAGTTTTAGCCTAGAGATAGTCTAGCTTTGGTCGCCTTTATGTTTCCACAGGCGCGTATGTAAGTTTGTTAAAGTGGAGCGGTGTGGTGTGTGTTGTACGAGGTCTCTTTCCCCTTTTTCTTCTTAATATAATGAAGCACAGTTCTCCTGCGTTTTCGAAAAAAAACACAACATGCACACTGACCAAGTACTATTTTGAATAAAAAAAATATCAAAGTGAAGTGACCATCTATACCCGTAACTAATAACATGATACAATTGCTTCTGTTATTTCAAAGCATTTAATTGCTAGGAGAGAGTAGAAACATAACAATAACTTGACTTTTGATATCTTCAATAGACAAACGTTGTGGAATCTATTTTCCTGAGGCCATTGACACATTCTAGAACATATTTTCCTGAGGCCATTGACACATTCTAGAACTGAGGTAGTAGTATATTTACTTGGACAAAAGATTTACTGTATGACTTCGTTGTTACATAAACCCTAAGCAAGGAATTCTGCACCTCCTATAACTAATTCAAGAATTGTTCTGTATATTTGCAAGCACTTGGCTATGTCTCGGTGTAGTTATACCTATATACATATATATAACTGGATATACTCTCATTTGTGTCTATGCTACTATGATATCTTTGTTCTTAAATTCAGTGTGGAAAATCGGCTGCAGTTTTTGCATGTGCCAAGGAACAAGGCTTCAATGTGATAGAGGTAGTTTCAGCAGCATTTCTTTCTGAGAAGTGCAAGTCTGCTGCTTCATATGCTTGATTTTACTGATTAATGTTTGGCATTATTCTAGGTAAATACATCTGACATGAGAAATGGGGCTTATGTAAGGCAGAAGTTTGAGGAAGCAACTAAATCACATGGCCTTGAAAAATGGTTTGTACAGTTCCTTCTATGTTTGCTCACATTCCGGTTTGTGATGCTTCTATCCAGTTCACGCTGCAGCCTCAGCTGCATCTTCTTTTAGTTAATAATATGTTAGTCTCTTGCTTTCATGAAGATGCTTAGCATTTTGCACTACCTTTGGTTGTCATGGCTGCCAAGCTGTATTCTTGGGCGATACCACATCCTTTATAAGTTATCATAGTCAGTTATGGATTTACCGAGAATAATCCAAAAACATACCTTTCATGAAGAAAGCGCTTTACTTTTACCGTGAGGGTTGATTGAATCCATTTTTTTGTGCTTGAGTATAAAAAATACTGCTTATGTGAAATAGCACTAGCATTTAAGTCAGCAACCTTCATATCTGTAGGATTACTTTCAGAATATCAGGGCATAACTTGGCATTGAAGAACACAACATGGTGATGCATACTCAAGGAAAAATAAGAACTAGACATAACATCGTGTATCTAAATTTCGTGCAAAGTCCAACAATGTAGCACCTGGTTTTAAAAATAAAACCAGATACACATCATATGTGAGTCCAGGAAGTCAAATCTCACATATAGCTACAAATAAGGGTAATATCGAAAGACTATGCTCAATATATAACGTACTTAGTATAAAGGATATAACCTTAGACAGCAAACAGCGGAAAGACAGCTCCGATCTTCGGGTGAAGACTCCAATTCCACAGGGACAACTGACTGGTTGATCACAAGCCTAATTCCTCCAAACTCTAGCAATCTGGTACCCGTCCAGGATTTTTATCCAAATATTTGAAAAAACATAAAGCAAACGTAAGTATATGTCGTACTCAACAAATATAACATGGGGTTCATGAGGCTCAAAAGGCTGACACTGGTTTAACTGCAATTAGCTTTTAATGAGTCATCTTTTAGCAATTAGGTGGCAACAAATTTATTCACAAGCCCATATAAACACATGATCAGGTAAACATGAATAATGAATAGCATAAACAGTAATCATTAATGAGCATCTTCATCATCGGTATCATCCATGTTCTTCATCTATTCCGTAAGGGTCCAAGGCCGCTCGTGACCGTGAGCACGGCTGATATACCAGTTTTACACTCTGCAGATGTTGTACACTTTCACTGTGAGTCGTGATTTACCCTTTCGCCCGAGGCGGCCAACCTTTTGACCCACTACCAAGGAAGGTCGGCAAGGTTCACTATGAAGCATTTTAAAGTTTCGTCTAACAAGTTAGGGCCATTAGATTCACTCGGCAAACAGATATAGGAACTCTCCTGTCGAATGGTACAATTCCATCACGACTATACGCATAAGAGTAGAGGCTGTCATATACCCGATTCGTCAAGCCATTCTTACGCCAATAAAGGTAACCACTAACAAGTTAGAAAATGTCCTCATACTGAGCTAAAGGCAGAGCCATGTACCCCTCACAGTTGTAATGTAAGTCCCGGATGTTTGCTTACAGATAAGTCCTTAGGGAGAGGAATCTAGAGCACAATAAAAACAGCTCAATGCTCTAGCCCCCTTGTTCCATGTTGCTAAAAAGCATCTTTTAGTGTTTATTGCATATATCATTATTCAAGTTACAAGATCATGGTTGTAGTTGAGCACTAGCATCATACTACCCAATGCCATAACCCAAAGGTGACAAGGAATCCAGGATATCAATTAGCTAGGAAAATTACTACGGTTGCCAAGGTAGACACATGCTGCATGAATTAAATGATTAAAGGTGTATAGGACAACAAGAAAGATCCCACGCTATACTTGCCTTAAACTTAGATCCTTCCATTGATTCGTAGCCTCCAAAGAACTGCTTCTTGATCACCACGTAAAACTCACCGACTGGACAAGATCATACAGCACCACACAAGCATCCGAACAAACATGCATAGCATTCAAACATAACTATATTAGAACAATACATCAATCGGTGAAAAAGAATTTGAAATCAAATCTACGCGTTGCTATGATCACACAGACGCGAAAAGCACGCTAATTGGAGCTACGGTGAAAAAGATACATCTACCGATAGATTTGCTTCGAAAAGAAACTATAGGCTTTATTTATTTTATCTATATAAAACATGTATAAGATACTTCAGAGAAATACCTTAATTGAGTTAAGTCAAATTATACTCGATTTAGAAAAACAAGGTAAAACTAATCATATAATTGACCAAGGTGAAAAGCCTAAGTTACTTTTAATTAGAAAAATCCAATTGTATAGTCATTATTCAAGTTAGGCGTTAAACCATAAAATTCCAGAGCTCTTGACATGGAAAACATTGATACTAATGCGTAGATTATGTCGTTACGAATCTAACACAACTTGAACGGGTCAAATCAGAGTTAAAACGGAGAAGATATGGCCTAATGAAGATAGTGGCAATTTTGTAAATAGATAGAACTTGATTTTCCAAATTTAAATAAATAAAATCAGATTTTGAAACAGACTAGGGACTGCGGGTACTAATTCAAGAAAAGGCAGCGGCTCTCTAGCAAAACTGCAGGGACGGCGGGTTCGAACTTAAAAACTTGCGGGGGCTCTTTTGCAAAACGTCCGGCCGAAGGGGTATTAGCCGATCTGAGCCGTTAGATCAAAGATGGATGGCTCAGATTAGATGGGAAGGGGAGAGAGAGACGCCGGCGGCCGGAACAGGGCCGAGCGCGGTGGCGCCATGGCTGGGGAGCTCGGCTCCTCGTCGGAACGGTGATTTCAGCCTTGGATTTCAACGGGAAAAACATGGGGACGCGCAGCGCGGCCTCGCGAACTCGGCCATGGGGTTCGCAGGGGTTGCCGGCGGCCGGACACAGCGGCACACGGGATAGGGTCCGGCGGCTTCCTTACCTCGACGCGAAACTCGGGCGATGGTTCTCGTCGGCGCGGGCTCGCCAGCGAGGGAGATCTACGGCGGCTATGGCGATGGCGCAACTAGGGCTCGGGTGGCGGCAGCGGCTGCTCCTAGGGCTCGAGATGGGGGTGGCGGCCTTCGGTATTTATGGCCGGAAGTGACTTGGGACGCAAGGCAATGGGAGGCGGCGTGAGCGGCGCGGTCTCCTCGGTGACTGTGTCCGTCGCGGAGACGAGCTGAAGGAGGGAGACAGCGCTGACATGCGGGCCCAAGGTGGCAGTGGCACGGAGCGCGGGGCCGGGCAGTCAGAGGAAGAGAGGAGAAAGGGAAGGCGTGGCGGCGTGGCTGCTGGGCCGGTGCGGCTTGGGCCTAGTTGGGCCGTGTGAGGCGAAGGAGGAGAGGGGGGCAACGGTCGCGGTTTGCTGGGCCGGCCTGAGAGAGATGGAGCGCGAGCGCGCTGGGCCGCAGGGAGAGCAGGGCCGAGCGGGCCAGAATTCTGAGAGGGGGAGAGAGATCTTTTCCATTTTCCTATTTCAAAACCAGTTTCAAATATAAACCAAATCGAATTGGAATATGGTTTAAAATACACTTTTTAATTTAAATAAAAATGAGCAATTTTAGTAAATTTTCCAAAAATAAATTTTACAAATTTTTTTTAAATTCCTTTATTTTTCTAATTTTCTCTTCTTTTATTTCAAAGCCATTTTCAAATTCATTTTCAAATTCTTTTAGATTCAACCACTCATTGCAATAGATCAAATGCACCGGCATGTATGCACATCCATGTTGCTACTCCTTATGATGAATTTTAATATAATGAAAAATATTCTTTTTCCTACATTTCATGAGCACAAAAACAAGTATTCAAATCAATTTAACTTTATTTTAGAAAGACAAATTTTAGGGTGTTACAAACAAGATGAACTAATTGAAGGTCATGTAGGATATAGTTGCATAAACGTCCATAAATTGGGCAGTATGTAGTAGTTCAGGAAATCAAATGGATCTCCTAGTAGTTCTGTCAGAAATTAGTAGTTCAACCAGCAGCCTGACATTATTTTTCTAACCTGTAAAATTCTAGCTTAGTAAGTATAGTTCTGTAATTCTATATGTTCGACAAATGCACTTCTATGGATTGTGCAGATTTGAAAACTAGCCTTGTTTGTTTGCTTTTTGTAAACTTGTTGGGGGAAGACCTAGCCTGTGCCTACCCCGTGTTGTAAAAGGCACAGCCTGTGTAAGGTCCAAGGACCTATTTGTAAATTTACTAGGTTAGGAGGTAAACAATCACCTCCACCCTTATAAGGGTCAATTGGGTGGGGGACTCTCCCTAATTGCTTTCTTGACTCTGTCTCTCTAACCTCCCTCTCGCTCCTTGTTTTCGTTTAGTTCCCAACACTTTTCACCTTATTATATAAAACTGTATTGTACAATTTTCAACTCAAGTGTTTCTAGAAATAATTAATGCTGACTGTATTTGATCTTCCAAGGAATAGTAACTGTAGCATGCGGGAAAAAACGCCTGCAGGGAATGATGGCATAATGAATTTGGGGCACATGAAAATAGCAATGACCATGCGAGTAATGTAGTAGCTTGGTTAAAATTCTGTGAAGTTCTTTTCTGCAGAAGTAGATATGCAGTGAATTGTAGCTTAGGCTCTAATAATATGTGCATTTCTCTAATATTTCACATGGTTGCCTAGTTGAAGCAAACATACCTTTGAATCCTTTTTTTAATCTCTTGTACAGGTCACAGGAGGAGGTTATCAATCCACTAAGGGATGATTCCTTGGATCCAGATTCAGGAACTCCTGATAGGACTGAATACCAACATTTGATGTCCTGTGCTACAAGAGTAATGATTGACTGTGATCAACCAAAATCACCTGTAGGATACTACTCAGGTTTGAAGGCCTGTGATGAAGCTCCTAAACAAGTTGCTAACAAGACACTCATACTATTTGAGGATGTGGATACTGTCTTTGATGAGGATCGTGGGTTTATTTCAACCATACTTAAGATGGCAAAGACTACAAAATGGCCAATCATACTGACTAGCAACAGTGAGCATTTTATCCTTTCCTTTTAGGCTCCTACAGATGACCTTAATAATTTCAGTCAATGTGGTACTAGTACACTAAAACTCTTGTTATTTTTGTCCATTATTCGTAATTTGTGAAGGGAAGGATCCGTCTTTGCCGAATCTCTTGGATCAACTTGTTTTAAATTTCAAATACCCATCGACCTCAGAGCTACTTTCACATGTTGGCATGGTAAACAGTCTCCCTCCCTCTCTCTTATAGGCTGAGATCACAGAGAAGTTCTTTTGCTTGCCAGATTTGTTGAAAGTTGACTGTATCCTATCTTAATGCAGATTTGTAAATCTGAGGGAGTGAATGTCACTGTTCCTCAGTTAAAGCATGTGATTGATATTTGTCTAGGTGACATTAGGAGGACAGTGATGCTTCTGCAGTTTTGGTACCAAGGAAGGCATCAATTCACAGGTTTGATGCTTTACCGGGAAAAATTATCCATATTTTTTTGTAGTTATGTTGTACTGGCTCATTGTTCACTTCTTTTAGACCTTTCAGTATGTAAAACTTACTATGCTTCTTTCTCATTGCATTTGCTTCTGCAATTGGTTTGTGAACCCTTGTTAAACTATGTTAAACTTTGGCCATGCTTACAGATAAATGCACCGACATCTGCTGCAACATCAAATTAGTTTCATATAAAATCCACCATGAAATATGTCTTGATAGTGCATTTATTTGCTATTATAGATGGTAATACAATTTTCTATGGTCAAAGTTAGAGAAGTATAACTTAGGAGAAAACTGGAACACCTTACATTTTGGAACGAAGGGAATAAATTGATGGGGTTTGTCGCAGAGTATTGCCCTGCAACAGCTTTAAGGATTATATCATGAGTTCATGTGTGATATGCACATTAGTCACCTTATAAATCTAAGGTGGGCCTAGGAGGTTCTTAATTTACTAGGGCTTGTTCCTGGCGTAAAACGAACTTCATTTATAGAAAGTTTTATCTACATGTTGCAGATACTTTCCTTCATTCTTTCAGTAAATGATGTGGGTGTTAGATCTGTCAGAATGAACTGTTGGCACCCCACACTAACAGCTGTGCACCCTCGTGGTTCCAGAAGGGCTGTTCTAGTTATTTATCCATGTAATGCCTAACTAGCTGGTAGTTGAGCTTGAAATCTTTTTTCTTTTCTGTTTTTGTTTCTTTTGCAATCTCATGCTGTGTTAACTCTTGAAGTGCTGATCATGTCCTATTCTACTTTCAGAGAGGCCAAAGGAATGTTTGTGTGGTCCTTTCTCACTTGATTTAGACGCTGTACATTCTACAGTACCAAAAATGTTGCCATGGGAGTTCCCTTGTAAATTATCTGAAACATTATGCATGGAGGTAGACAAAACTATCCTTTTGGCTGAAGAAAAGAAAAAACAGAAGGAAATATCAGATCTTGAAGGCCTGCAGTTACAAGTAACAGCACCTTTGGTCAAGGGAAGAAGCGCAGCTAAAACAAGAAAGGCTAAGAAATCCAATTTGAAGCGTGCCCACTCGACTGAGCGTAATGATATTTCACCTTGCAAGAATGAACTTGATGATTTCCATGATCTTCCAGATATACCTCTTCCATCTGATAAACAAATAAAAAGAAATCGACATTGTTCGCTGCTATTATCTGAGTCCGATGATGATCCAGCTGATGTAGGTACTGAAAAACATGACATATTTACTGTTACTGAAGTTGGTTTCTTCCCACAACCTTCAGAGGTGCCTCCTATACATGGGCAAGGGATTTCCGATCAGTTCTGTTCTCCCGTTGAATCACGAGAGACCTTTGAAATTGCTGATTCTCTCCAAAACCCACCTGAAAGCAACATGTATGGGTCCATTTCACAAGTTTGTGATACATTTATGTCACAGGGCGTGTCATGTGTACCTGAGTCATCCTTAATTGTGGATGGCACATCTGCATCCATAAGTGGTGATGAATTTTTGTCAAGGGCAGTGTCTAATGATTTTTCTGCCTTTTATGATGGTACATACACTACGTCCAGAATGGTATTAGAAGACACTGACTGTGTGAAGAATCTAATGGCTGAGCGACAGAAAGATGTAGAAGACGTAGTTGGTGAGACAAGTGAGGCTTATATGGAATCGTTTGGGAGGAATGAACAGGCAAGCTGTTCAACTGCTGGGTTTCAATTGATGGATGAATGTAGTCGTGCTGAAAGCATCTGGCTGCTCTCTGGCAAAAAAACTAATGACTCTTGCAAGGTTGAACAAGTACAGGACACTTGGGACAGGCTACGAAGTTGCTGTCTTGAATTTTCCAGTGACACTAATCACAACAGAGCAGCTTCTGGAGCTTTGAAGCTTGCCTCAGAAGTGTCTGATTTAATATCAGAATCAGATCTTATGCTTTCCCGTTACTACCCTCTTACTAAGGTCAGGCATATTCTCTTTTGCTTGCTTTAAAGATTCATATCTCTGAAATACAATATTTGACTCAAGCATTTCTAAATTTGTGCAGGATATGTTGGATCCATCTTCAACTCCTTGTGCCGAGCCAGATGATTCTTCTTGGTACAACAATCAGTTTGAGATGGGATCTGTATATGCCCAGCATGCTCTTTGCATTTTCTCAAGGAATTCCCAAAAACTAGATGGTGGTTCTGTCGATTTATCACGAGAGTTGTTGTTTGCCAGTACCGCTGCCGTATCCCTTGGTAAAATTATCTGTTCAGGATTCAGGAATGATTGTGGATCTACGAACATTTCTCATATGAAAAATCCAACTACCTGTATTTCTAAAAGAAGGTAAGTAACGTGATTCTGTTCCAGTAGGTTAGTTGCTTCTATACACTGCTTTCATATCGCTGGTTATGTTATATAGAACTCTATATGTTCCCTAATAATCCTATTTGTATTGTGGTTATAAATTAAAAAATGGGCAGCTTATTTTAGTGGTCAAAATAATAAATGGCTACAAGTAATGTGTGTCAATAGAAGATCATATAATGACAACAACGATGGCGGTTTTATCTATTTACAATTGTCTGTTAGTTATTATCTATATTAGATATCTTATAATTGGAAATATATGTGATCTGGTACCTGGCGTATCCTGGAAAGCTATTAGCTTTTTATCATTGTGCCCCTTGAACCTTACATGGTTGCTTATATTGCCGCATTTGATGTAATTAGCAAATCCAAGTCCATACTATAGTGATAGATTGTGGTTTCATCTACAATTCCATTGCACAAAAAATCTTTATATTTTTCAGTTTCACTACAGAGCTCTTTCAGGCATATGAAACTGTCATGGTAAAAAATCCTGAACACCGGATTGTGTATAAATTGTACTCGACTTAAATAGATTTGTGACTTGTGATTATATTTTGTGTTAAATTAGCCAGGACTAATTAAATAAATGTGCGTGCTCTTTTTGCATACCACTGGACGATTCATTTGAAGCACTAGCATGCAAGATGCTTAGCTTCTTCTGAGTCCCCCATAAATTTGGTAGGATAACAACATAGAGTTGTGGCTGGTGGGCGTGACATCGACTGGGGATGACGCCTTGCTACTGATGGTGGTGGATGAATGCAAAATGTGGAAGCTAGCAGGGGCAAAAGCCTGTAAATCTTTAGAGATTTTACTTCTTAGCGAGTAATCCACATTGATGTAATCGCCTTCTCAGCAGCCTGCCGAGGAGGACCTAGTGCGCATTGCGCACAGCTGTAAAACTGCTTCCTTCTTATTAATACATGCCGACTTGGTCCGATCTTTCAAAAAAAAAATGGTAGGATCCACTGATATTGAACTGTTGATGATTTATGACTTTTTTTTTTGTTAATCTTCACATGGATAATTTGCATGATTAGCTAGTGATAATGCTTTGTGCAGGGAGCGGCATGTTCATCTTTGCGAAACCCTGTCTCCAGTAGTTCCTCCAAAGTTGTTGCAGTCATTGAGAGGCCCTGCTTTTGTGGATTATTTGTCTTCAATCAGCCAGATCTCCCAATTAGAAAACTTGCGACTCTCTGAAAATAAAGTCATAAACAAGCAAAGAAGGTAAGGTTTTTGCCTCAGTAATCCTTTTACTGATAGTAAGCAACTATATGAAATTATGTGTCACCCTCTATAGAATTTTCTTCTCAGAACTCTTGCCATAAAACGGGAACAAATAGCCACAGCAGCACTTCGGAATCCAAAATGTTATTCTGCACTTTGTAACTTTGCATTTTACCGAATCTTATGATGTTAGTATGTTTTTTGTTCTCTAGTCCCTGACAATAAGAGGAAAGTTAACAGTAAATTGGTCCTTTTTCTTTTTGTTTAAAATCACTGTCCTACTCTTCTGAAACACCTTTAAATTATAATCATCATATTACATGCTAGAACTCTTGTCCACTGAAAGCAAAAAATAGAGCCAACCTCTTCAGGTTTTGTTGGGTAAACGAATTTAATTTCTGTGAAAGATTGGTTCTTTTTTTTTTTTGCACAGCTGTTAAACTTGTATAAACATATAAATAGGTGAACACCAGGATTTGTACCCCACAGCAAGTGTGCTTTTCCTGTATTTGCTATGTTTATGCAATTTTGTATTTGCCCCATTCTTTTCAATATATTTTTATTTCAGTTGGATTACACATGGTTTCCAACAATCTTCCCCTTTCAAATAGTAATTGTGTGCAATTTGCACCGTTCAACTGAATTTGCCACCAACTGGAGTTTCACGAATTTAACATAAACATGTACCTTTCCCGTCTTGTTGCAGGTCCCGTCAGTCAAGACATTACTTGAGTTCTGGCGCACTTCCATTTTCACCTGAGGATGTTGTATTATTAGCAGAAAGCGGTTGTTTTGGTGGCAGACGCGAGAAGGTTGTAGAGCAGGCACCAGGCAGTACATAAGTTAATAAACTCGTGCTGATGATGAGCGGCACCATTTTTTTCCCCTCAACTTGATTAGAAGGCAATAGGACGATGGGTTGGCCGAGCCATTTCTGTAGTTGCAATCCGTGATCCCGAGTCCCGGCGGTGGAGTCGGAACCGGAACGGGTGCAGTTGATCGTTCCATGGTATCATCGCCTTGTATTGATGTAATGCATGTTGTCAGTGTTGTCATGCTAATTTATCCCATGGGAACATAGGGTCTTTGAGCTGGTGATTCTAATCAATATATAAACTGCACACAGGCCCCACATGTCATGATAAGTCTAAGCGACATATGGCACACAAAAAGGGAAATCGAAGTTCGGTACATATGATACGATTCCTCTTCGTCAGATAACACTCCTCGGTATAGCAGCCACTGGTGTGTTGCGACGTACTGGACACCCAATTTTGAGCAAGAGGTAGGCATAGTCCAGCTATACAAACATGTCGCAAAAACGGCACAAGCGGATGAAATTGGACATCCCGTTCGCTGGTCTGAAACTTGGCTGAAAAACACTGTTTCGGCTGAATTGTTGTGAGAGAAAAACACCGTTGGCTGGTTTGGTAAACAGTGAAACGAGAGGGGGATCAGCTGGCTGGCTGGTTCGGACCAGACCAGCGAACAGCCCCAGCAATTGAGGAACATTAGAAATAAAACGAAGAATACCTGCTCTGCTGTCTTGCCACGTGCAAACAACCATTTTCTGGAGAATCGAGGGCCAGGAGTTGAACAAAATTCTCGGTCGGAAGGATTGACAGAGGCCTGTGCCCCCGACGTGAACAGTAGACTGGAGTCCAAGCTGGCGGGATAGTTGACTGGCTGCTTTACCAATCACCGGGTCGGGTCGTCGTGTCGTGCTGGTCAGTTACGTGGCGCGGGGATACACATACACGAAAGGCTGCACTGGGACCGACCTAGCAAATCGCTGGTGCCGCGTACAACGCCACTACGCCAGTCAGTCCACGGCCACACCTCGCTCCGGTCCTACTAAGAGCCCCCAATGAATGAGCTGGAACCCATCCCACTTTGTGCTGACACCAGCGACGCTTAGGCCCCGTTTAGTTTGCTCCAAATTCCTGAATTCGATATTATGCAAAAACCCGTCACATTAAATTTACAATACGCCACTAAATGCCAGTCAGTAATTACAGCCACAGATTTCACGGCATCCGACGTTTTGGAGCCCCCCAATGAACAATTGGACAATTATTACCAAATAAAAACAAAACGACACTGTAGCTACAGTGCCGCTACAGTGTTCCTGCCGGCGCCAATTCGGCGGAACTAAACGATGGAACACTGTCGTGTCGTGAAAGTTGCCATCTGGACTCTGGAGTAGGAGCACTTCCGTTCCAATTTCCAACTTTCTTCTCGCAGAGCATGATGGAAAGGAAGCTCTTTGGACAGCTGGCAGAACGGCACCCTTTTTTGCTTGTAGCTACCGTGCATTCGTACCGTGAGTTGATTGGACAGCGCGTTGTACTTTCTCGGCGACCTCCTTCGACGCACCGGCGCACCGCACATGGCCCTCGTTTCCGGCGGCGTGCTCTGCTCGATTTTTCGCTCGCTTCAAATCCCATCCGGCAATCCAGCCATCATCCATTCCAGGGTGTTTCCCCGGGTCTCCGCCTCATTTCGACGGCGCTTCTCCTGCCCGTTTCACGCACTAATGACAGGAGAAAGTGCTCTCGGTGCCTCGGAGATCCCCTCGCCTTTCTATGCGCTTTGCCTTGCTTTTCCTGTTGTTGTTTTTTCCCCAGAAAAGCAGTTGCCGTGATTTGCCTTAGCCACATAGGAGTATATCTGACTACTATAGCAGCGTTTTCCAGGGTGCTTCCAAGTTCCATTTCAACAGCAGCGTTCTTGGCTTCTTGCCATCGTGCGCACTTTAGAATGGACATGGACATGAACATGGTGCGGCCGCCGGAGCAGTCAGGCGCCAATCATCGCCATCTTTCCTTGCTGTTCGTTGGCATGCAGATTGTGTAGAAAACGGCACCGTCCCTGGGTCAAATTAACGGGCTACCGTGTGTGCGTAAGGTAAAAAACGCGCTGCATATAGTAGTGTTATACGATTTCGGTGGTGTTTGATCACTAATCCTAGACTAAAGTTTAGTCCTTAAATTTAGTTCTTGTTTGTATCTATAAGCTAAACTTTAGCTCTCTAATATACAATGACTGATTTGCCCTTATTTAATTATCCATGCACACCATGCATGCGAGTGGTAAGGAGTATAGGCGTCCACCGTCCGTCCCGAGGGAGTTTAGTCCAATTTAGAATCTCTTTGGGAAGTAAAAGATTTTAGCCTAATTTTTAGTTATTTGCTTACTTTTAGCCTCTATGTTTGGATCCCCATGACAAAAATAAAAGGGTTAAAAGTGCAAGGCTAAAATTTTAACGTGGGATCACAGGACCTTCCTATGCGTGGTCAACGACTTTGGTGCGAGAAAACGAGCCATTGAACATGGAGCAAGACGGCGCGTGGCTGTCGTTGAAGATGCAACCGCCGGCCGGTTGACCACAAACTTCAAAGCGCCGGTGCAATACTAGTAGTAACAGACTAACAGCAACAACAAGTCTCCAAAGAAAACCTCGCGGAAAAAAAAAAGAAGTTTCCAGAGGAAAAGAAAGCAAGTAACATCAAGGATTGCCGCGGGAACACGGCACGCAGCTTTGCCGTCGGGTAACTCGCTCGTGTGGCCGTAGCAGCGAACGCTTGCACCTGCATCATGCATTCGCTCACGCTCACACTCACACACAGACACAGTACAGTGACACTAGAGGTCTGGGTTTGGCCGTGGCCGGGCGGCAATGGCACGGCCAGGTCGTCGGTCGTGTGGCGGTAAAACGCCTCCGCTTGGATTACGCTAGCTGCCCTGGGAACGTAACGGCCACAGCAAGGAGGCACGCGTCTGGACATCGCAGAGTGAGTGAGACTACCATCCAGTGAAATTCACGAAAGCTACCGAGCCGTGGAGACAGACCACCACCAGACACTGCACCTGTACGCGTGGTGCTCGCTCCTGCAGAATTCCGCCGTGCTTTGCAAGTTGTTACTGATTAATTAATTGCATGTGCTTATCATTTGATAGTGTTTCTCTGCGTGCGCTTATAACAGGACTAGTAAAATGTTTCGGCTCCGCACTAGCTTGTCGCTGATGAAAACGTACTCCAGACAACGGTGTGTAGGATAAAAATGATGCTTGGATAGATGAAAGGAGGTCCAAACCTTGATTTTGCCGTTTGCAGCTGACCGATGCTTCAACCAAAATTCTAGGCACCGGAAAAACTATACTTCCTCAGTCACCAAAAGGAAAAATGCAATCCTAGGTTTAGGACGAGTCAAACATTTTTAAATTTGATCAAGTTTATATAAAATAATATCAATATTTATTGTGGTTACTACAAAATATATTTATTTGAAATCATAATATTTTTTACACAGATTTAGTTGAATTTGAATTTATTTATCTTAAGAAGTGATAATTATATATTTTTTTTATAGACGGAGGGAGTACATGTTTATGCTAGACAACTAAAAACTAGTTTATGTCCTCTCCACATGCTGTTTGGCATGCTCAGACTTGTTAGACAAATGAACTCACAAAACAATAAAGAACTTTTTTTTAGTATGGTTTAGGAGACGTCGAAAAAGTGTTAGCTGTGTCAATGATTGGTGGATCCATATGAGGGAAGACGTTAATGAGGGAGGCGTTGGATGTGTCTATGGTCGGTGGGTCCATATGCGCCGTAACGTCTCCCAACGTCTTCAAAGTTGAGAGGATTATGACTTCAAATAAAAAAATAGCAATTCCTTTTTCGTGGTTATTTTTTAATCAATGTAAAACGGGGCCAGGTCTAGAGCGACACAAAACAGGGCCGAATCGCTCCTCCTCTTCCTCCTCCTACTACAACGTTAAACTACTGACAAGCTGACAGTTTTATGATGAGCGCGTGATGAGTTCATCAGACATGCACGTACTCACATGGCACGATGTCTCCCCATCTGGCAGGAACAATCGAACAAGCTTACAAGCACGCACGTGCCAACACATCGGCTGTTGAGCTCATCAGCTCAGTCCCACTGACACACGGTAGAATATTGAATATCGCCAGCACATCTGGCCACGTGCCAAGCCATCAGCAGCTGAGCTCGCCACTGACGTTTGCCCTCACGTCAGCTCCCGTCGCCGCACCGCGATCTGCCTAGCGCAACGACCCCGCGGCGCGCGGCCAAACCCCACCGAGAAGGCCCCCGCCCGGCCGCCATCAGTCGCCGAGACCGCATCCTGCCCGGCGTCTCCGACGAAGCTTTTTACCTCGCGCCAGGGGGCCAGCGCGGGAGCGCCGCACCGGCCCCGGCCGTATCCCTGCCTGATCACCGCGGGCGGGGCGTGTTCGGCTGGCTTAAAAGCCAGCCGGCTGGGTTTGTTCCGTCACTCACGAAATCACTGTTTACGTTATATTAAAATAGTATTTTTTTTTAATAGCAATTAGTCTGCCGAACAGACAACTCAGGCGCGCGGCGCGGTGGCCCAGCTGCTGTGCTGCCCGCGGTTGCCGTGTCGCGTCGCTAACCCGACCACCGGGCCGCAGCGGCGAAAAGATGCGAGTCAATGCGGACAACCGGACAACGCTATCTCCTCCCTCCGCTGTCCGCTCGGTCCCCTCCACGGATCCACCGAAAAACCCAAAAGCGCGGCCGCGGCTACGAACCAAAAAAAAATCCCACCCGCTTGCCGTCTCCCCGCGTCCCCAAGCCGAGCTCTCGCTTTCGGCGCGGTCCTCTCCCCCGCGTCTTCCAGGGCGCCCATGAGCTGAGGCCGCCGCCGATGGGCCCGCCCCACGCCGCGCAGGACCCCGCGCCGTCGCCGTCTGGCGGCAGTGGCTTCGGCTCCTCCAGGCGCCGCCTCCGCCGGCTCGACCGCCGCAACGCGTCCAAGAACATCAGCTACAACGCCCCCAACTACTGCCAGTACCCGCCGTCCCCGCAGCCCGCCTCCGCGCCGGGGTCCGGGCCGACCTCGCTCGCCGCCTCCGTCGCCTGCTCCCTCGACCTCGTCAACAGCTTCCGCATCGGCGGCAGCGGCGACGGGGGCGGGGACCTCCGCTTCCTGTACGAAAACCTCGGCCTCTCCGGGCCCGACGACTTCGCCATCCCGCTGGCCGACTGGGAGGCGCACAAGGCCATTCGCTCCTCCACCTCCGCTTCAAGCTCCCCCTCCTCCGCACGCCCCAACCACGACTCCCCTCAGCGGGACTCACCGCTCTGTCAGGTGGGTGCCGAGGAGCCCGCCCAGGCTGCGGACGCCGACCCGGAGCTACCGGCCGCAACGGGAAGGGACGTCCCAATCGAAGCTCCGGAGCGGCCGGCGCGCCTGGATCCGCCGCCCGAGTCCACCTTTCCGGATGCGAGGAGGGCAGCTGGGGAGGGAGGAATCAAGGGCGTGCGCCCGCCGCCGGTGCTCAAGCCGCCGCCTTCGATGGCGCTGCCAGCTGTCTGCGGCGTCGGATCCACGTGGGATATCTTGCGGTCGTTCGCGCCGGATGAGAAAGAGGACGCCCCCGCGATCAGATCTGGCCGTCGTTTTGGACACCGGGATGCAGTGGAGAAGGATGACGACGAGGATGGGGCGGTATTGTTAATGTTGGACGATCTTGGGCTGGAGGAGTCGTCCGAGGGCTTCACTGGTACTTCTTCGCTATCAACGACCAACGATGACGAGACCTCAAGCACCACCACAGAATCCATGTTCTATATCTCACCGAACGGGAGGTTTAGGAGGAGGATCCGGTCCTGGAGCCGAGGGGTGCTCCTGGGTAGTGGCTCGTTTGGGACAGTCTATGAGGGCATCAGCGAGTAAGTGCTCTAAAGATAAAATTCAGTTGCTCTTCCGTGCTGTTTAGTTGCTTGGAATAATCAATCTAACATGCTACGCCTGTCCATACTCCATAGGGCAGCATAAGGTACAGCTAGAAGCCTCGATTAATCTGGGTTTCACAGAACTGATTCTATTGCTGATTAGAGCCTACTAGGTCTGTTTCTAAATGTTAGACACTAAGCACAGCCTACTAGTAGTAACAATTGAATTAGTTACATGATATAGTCTTCTACAACTAAACCAACATGATCCTAAGTAATAGGCAAAGATCTCAACTAAAATCATTGTCACATGCAATTTGATGAACCATCTCCTCAATCGTACGTGGGACCATGACATATTAGTGTGCCAAAATGTTGCACTCTTGACTTCTGGGTCAGCAGAGAATAATTTGATAATCACTCGATTTTTTCTGTTCTTTTTAGAAGCTTGATTTTATTTCAATTTAGAACTGAGGTTAAGGATTTTTACTTGATTATGTGTTCTTTGGTCATGATAACTTGGATATTCAGCTCTGCGAACAACGTACATGAATTTATTGTCCTGGATGAAGCAATTCAGCATTTGTCCTTTTTTTTCTGCCAATATGCAATAGGGATGGTTGCCTTCACTATTTATAGCCTGCTCTAGTTTTTTCCTGTTGCAAGCCTGAGCCCAGTCTCTTACATGCTTTTCTGCTTCTGTGTCATATTATCAGTGAGGGTGTCTTCTTTGCTGTCAAAGAAGTAAACTTATTTGATCAAGGGAGCAATGCGAAGCAGTGTATCTTTCAGCTTGAGCAGGTTCGTTTCACTATTTTTTTCTTGATAGTACGAGAGATTTAATCTATTACTGGCAATTTCCCATCCTATCATGAATTGCATGTCCCGTGTTCTTCAACTTGAATGGCACAGTTCATGATAGGTTGAAAGGTTATTTAGGACAAGTACATCTGTACATGTGAGCCGTCTCATAGGCCATCTCATGCAGCAAATGCCCTATAGGATTTTTTTATGACGTGGAGGACCGAGGGAGTTGAGATTGAGACTTAAGAGAAAGTGGTGGTTCTTTCGTAAAGCAACCGCCTCATATATAAGCTAAAATTTAATACTATAAGACTACTCGCGCATCATTGTATAAGTTGTTTATGCCTTGTAACTCACATTTTTTGCTTTCTTCCATTTCATGCACAAATTAAGGGATTTTGGAATTACTATATAACTTAAAAGACAACCCGTTGTAGGGGTTGTCTGTTAATTTGTCTCAGATTACATGGTAATGCATGAGCCTATAAGATAGCACCAGTGTTTTTTGGCTTCCACTGTGATTTCCTGAGATTTGATCCATTGGTCTGTGCGCTGTTAGCCTTAAGATGGCTCCACTTGCAAACTATGCCCAATTTCCTCAAAAGACAAGTGTTGCAAAATCTGACCTCTTTTATCTTTCTTAATCTTTCCAGGAAATTGCACTTCTGAGCCAGTTTGAGCATGAGAATATAGTGCAGTATTATGGAACAGACAAAGTAAGTAGCTTCAGTTTATCATGCTGTTGGTATCATATATGTCGTATGCACAGAAATTCATTGTTTTCTTCATGCCCCTTGTATGCATGCTTAGGCTATTAGATTGATGACCCTCCAACTGTGTTATTATTGCAGGAAGATTCAAAGCTTTACATCTTCCTTGAATTAGTGACCCAAGGATCCCTTGCATCATTGTATCAGAAATATCGCCTGCGTGATACTCATGTCTCTGCATATACAAGACAAATCCTTAATGGGTTGACTTACCTCCATGAAAGGAACATTGTTCATAGGTAATGAAATTAGTTTAAGTTCTGATACCTATAACGGTGCCATTCAGTGTAACAAATCAGATTACTGGAAATAAGAAATATGGGCAATTATGTGCCCATTAGTTTAAATGAAGCCCTGCAAGCAATGCCCAATACCTGTATTTTCCACATTGATCTGAAAAGTACTGCAGAATTATATCAACATGCTATTGTATATACGTATGTTCTGAATTATGGTTTGAATTGTGATATTGCAGAGACATTAAATGCGCAAATATTCTGGTGCATGCCAATGGATCTGTGAAACTTGCAGATTTTGGACTCGCTAAGGAGGTCGATTTCATGCTGAAAACTTTGTCCTTTTTTTGGTTCAATTTATCCGCTAACACTTTCTCTGATACAAAGTTATTTTATCATTTCCTTCAGATTACCAAATTCAATGCAGTTAAATCATGCAAAGGAACTGTTTATTGGATGGCACCTGAGGTAACCACCATAAACTCTGACTTGAGATTAGAACATTCTTGCATTTTGTTCGCCTTATGTTTACCTTCAGTGATTTGTCTAGAATAATCGTCTTGAAGTAATAATAGACCTAAATTATTGAATATTACTTGGAAGTAGTGCCCTATCCCCTATGCCCCTGCCTCAGTGATGTTATTACAGATCTATCAAACATCTGGTGCAGTCCAATCAAAGTTGGTTCTTAATAGAGTAGTAGCTGAGTTGATATTTTAGTGTGATTAAGTGACGTTTCATTGATTTGACATAGGCATCGTTTCATGTGAACTTAATGTGCTGGCGAACAATCATGGTTGCTGGATGACAGCATATACAATTTGGATCTACACTTTAAGATCATTCTAGATGGAAGCACTAAAATCTAAATTTTCAGGTTGTCAATCCAAAGAAGACATATGGACCTGCAGCTGACATATGGAGTCTTGGTTGCACCGTCCTAGAGATGTTGACACGCCAAATACCCTATCCTGACCTCGAATGGGTGAGAACATTTAGTACTGACTTCTGCAAATTCGAGTTGCTGTTTTCGAATTATATGAGTGTGCCTATGTGTACGCGATTTTCTGAACTATTGGTATATGATTAACCCCATTCTTCTTGCTACTTGTTATGCAGACACAAGCTCTATACAGGATTGGTAAGGGGGAATCACCAGCAATTCCAAATGCTCTTTCAAAGGATGCTCGTGATTTTATAAGCCAGTGTGTAAAATCCAATCCAGAAGGCAGACCATCAGCATCCAAACTGTTGGAGCATCCATTCGTAAACAAGTCAATAAGATCAGTACGGTCTATGAGGACGACATCTTCACGCTCGAATTCATCTACACGTGGCATCAATTAATGGATCGTTGATCATCTTTTGGACAGTGGCAGAATGGTAAGTTAACATTGTACCTTTTTGTGTCAAACTTATGCTAAGATTTCACGTACGTGTCATGTTGAATGGTACAAAGCTTGTGGCTGGTCTTGCAGTCGTCAGCTTCTCAGCTGTGGCTCACTAGGGCGCCACTTGTTGCTTTTATAAGTGCGTGATTAATCTGACAATTTGACTTTCTTTGGTTGTTCGACCTACAGATATTGGTCCGCGCAAATCATGCGGAGCTGGCCGAAAGGGAGGGTTGTTTTGCCTGGAGCTAGTATTGTCAACGCTCAACAGCATCGTCATCAACCTTTAGTGTTTCATTAGTTGATTCTTTGGCATACGTTCGCGAGGAAGATGTCCTCGTTGAGCCGCCGGCTAATATTCTTCTGCCTGGATAGAGAATAGTGAATGTGCATTTGAGCGCATGAGTTGTAGAGTTAGAACGGGCTGTGTAAATAGATTGTCTTGATGCCAATGATATGTTGTCATGAGAAAAAAGAAAGAAAAAAAAAGGTTCAAAGCTTTAGAACTGTCAACAACAGTTGTTAGATTGGAATTGCTGTCAGCACTTGTGCTAAGACAGGAAGCATACGGCTATGTTATCTTTTCCTTTTTTCAATCAACGTTACTTCCCAGAAAACTCTTCGATTGGCTGCCGTTCTCCATTTGGCATGCGAGGCCATATCGCTTTCGGCCAGCCGGAGGAGGATTCCTTTCTCACGCGTTGTTACTTGGCGTGTGTAGCCCGTAGAGCGTTTACTATTCAACCAAGGAAAACTGCATTCACCGATATATGCTTCTTAAGATTCTTGAAGCTCTGCCTCTTGGCAACTAAACAAAGAAACAAATGAAACACATGTGAAAGCCGCGGAGCCAGGGACAAAGCATTCCGGCACTCTTCAATCAGTTTCAACCTATATAACAGCCTGTAAAGTTAACTGAATAATTGAATAATGGTGGTAAAGCAGAGATGAATTCTAGCCGTGAGGGCGAAAGTAAATTCTGATCCAGTGTCAATAGATTCCCAGAATTAGCATAGTATACTGAAGTTAAACCACACTGTCACAATAATCGGTTGAATTATCTCACTGTGTGGTCTTTCTGACAAATGGGTCTTTCGGTACAAATCTTGAAACTTGGTGAACATGAGACAACAAATGTGCGGTGAAAACCCTCCATCGTTCTGCGCAAACCCACATCTACCGGACTGCTTTTCCAGTAACCAACACAGGTAATGGAGAAGCCTATGGTGATTCAGTGCACCTTGGAATTTGGATCAGCACCCTGGTGTGGTCGCGATGGCTCTACTCTACATCAGAGCCGAAGTCGATTTTGTCTAGGCCGCAGGAGCTCTCTTGTCCTCCAAAAGCTTCAGCTCCATACACCATCCATCAATCTTTTTCATCTTTTCCAGCGTCTCAGATTTCAATTTTTCAGGGTCACCTTGTAGTTGTGCTTCAGCTAAACGTATCTGTTAAAATCAAGATAGATGCATCCATGTCAACTCATCCTGCATTCCTGCTTTGGTTCCTAAAATACACCTTAGACTCAAGTATTTAACTTTTTATAAATCAAATAATCTACTAATGAATATCCTCAAATCAAAATGGGTTTACTACACAAGGCACAAAGGCTCTTAAACAAGTGAAATATCACTAATAGAAAAAAGTGCCAAACATATAGTGAAATCTAGACTAAAGCGAGAAGGCTGGTCGTACATGTTTAAAGGGCATGTGGAATACCTTAAACGCCCTCAAACTAGAAAGGAAATTACAGTTAATAGACACTATTAAGTTGGATTCTCAGCACTCAGCATGAATAAATCAGAAGGTAGAAGAAAATTGATTTTAATTAAAAATGAGGCCAGGTCCCAATTCTTACAAAACTAGGTTTGCAGGAACACAACTTTTCACTATCATATTTGATTTAAAGATACTAAAAATGAAAGCACGCTGTCGGTGCAGAAAGAGACCAACACGTAAATATTCGTAGTTTTGCCGTACGTCGTGATCGGAGGTGGCCTAGCACTCAATGACATATAATTTATACTGGTTCAGGCAACGTGCCCTACGTCCAGTTTGAGTCGATCGGTGACTTTATTCCCGAGTCCGGTGCTCGAAGTTTGCTCCTCGAAGAGCTGGTTCGGCGGGGTTACAAGCGCGAAGGATGATGGTGGTACAGCGAGAGGAGAAAGATGGGGTACAAGAGGTCCAATGGTGTTGGGGATTGTCGAGCTGCTGATGCACTTGTCCGAGGGGCCGATAGTGACGGGAGCTCCGCTATGTGCTAAGTGCCTAAGTGTTCGAGCGTGAACTCGAGGTTTGAATCTGGTGGTTCTATTGTTGTGTACTAGTGAACTTGATCGATCTGAATGAACTGTCTCTTAAGAGAGAGCGCATCCCCTTTTATAGATGAATGGGATGACCTTACAAGTGAGAGGGGGAGAGAGTAATCGATGTGCAAAGCTAAGTCTTGCGCTTGCGCCGCCGAGGACGGGCGGAGTACAAGATGATGGTAGACGCCCACAATCTGACACCGCGTTTATTGTCGGCACGTTAGACGACGGCCGGGAGGTTGCGTTGTTTTCTTGGTATGATAGACGCTAGCTTGGAGAAAAATTTTGGCGCCATGGAGCTCGTCCAAAGAGCTCCTCAACGACGGAATCGCCACACTATTGATACCTGAAGGTACGCAAGGGGTTTTACCATGTTCGCCTGGTACGGTAAATGCCGGCGCCCACAACACTGTTGACGCCTTAGAGGCACGTGGGGGAGCCTTACCGTATTTGTTTGGTATGGGAGTTGATGGCGCCCACAACACCCACAGAGAGGAAAATGTCGATGGGGCCTAGCGCCTACAACACTTTGCATATGCGCCGAGAGGGATGGAGTTCTATCATGTCGGGAGGTCGCAGTCTACCATTCTGCCGATTCGCCGCTGGCAGCATACATGGTACAGATCCTTGGTATTGCGGTTAACTTGAGTACGCCTTACTTTCTCCGTCGCATTTCTCGGTCCTTACGAATAGAATAACGCGTCCCGGTGGCCCCGGTTGGTCCTAGTCAAAGGCCCATTACGCGCTCGCCATCGAAGAGGAGTTATAAGAGGCCTCCCGTCGCGGCGTGCGGTCGTGACGGGGGAAGCGCGGGTCGCAGCGCATCCCTCATAGGCATGGGCCAGCGCATGGCGTCGGAGAAGCGAGTCCACGAGTGTATGTCGGAAGTGGTGTTTGGCTGAGGTGACCTTTGGCGGCGCGGAGAGGCCCATGTTCGGGAGGCCGAACGGGCAGAGAGCCGACCGAGCGCAGCGCCCGGTCGGAGAGGTGGGCTGCAGTCGAAACGAAAGTCCGCGCGTCGTTCTCCTCCACCAGCCTTCCAAATCGGTGGTAAATTGGATCGCCTTTCCTCCCGCCGTTCTCGAACGAGATTTGGTATTTGGGCCGGTCCAAGAGTTTGCACGTTGGTTCACAACGTTGTTTGGGGATTTGGGCGAGGGAATTGGATCGAGCCTTTCCGTGGGGAAGCCCCCATGAGGAACCCTAGGTTTATAAACCCGACAGAGCCCCGAGCTCTCGGGCTATTCGAGGGTAGAATGATTGATGGCGGTCATCTGCGGTGAATTTTTGTCTTGAGGCGAGGGTGGGGTGGAGCGGGTGGTGTAGTGTGGACGGCGCGACACACCGGGCGCCACGGAGGAGGGCACCCCGGTGGATGGCGCCACCGTAGCCTCGAGAAGTCTCCCCGGGCGGCGATTCGGGAAGTAGAATCGTCTGGAGGGGTTTTCGTGTTGCCGAGATCGATCTCTGAGGAGGGAACAGGGAGTTTCATCACCAGCGCCCAAGGAGATGCAATCTGCGGGTGTAGCCCCGGACTCTTATAGCCCCCGAGCGATTCATAACTTAGCTAAATCTCCTTGATCACCTAGGGGTTTTGTCGGGACGGCGTCGTGTGAAATCGTGCATTTTGTCCTCCTTAGTTGAGAATACGTCAAGAGCTTTTTATAAATCAAATAATCTACTAATGAATATCCTCAAATCAAAATGGGTTTACTACACAAGCCACAAAGGCTCTTAAACAAGTGAAATATCACTAATAGAGCTATAGTGAATCTAGACTAAAGTCGAATTGGTCGTAGCCCAGCATGTGGAATACCTTAAACGCCTCAAACTAGAAAGGAAATTACAGTTAATAGTTTAGGGATTCTCGGTCGAGGCCGAAGAAAATTGATTTTAATTAAAAATGATTCTTACAAAACTAGGTTTGCAGCACAACTTTTCACTATCATATTTGATTTAAAGATACTAAAATGAAAGCACGCGGCGAAGTGACAAACACGTTATTAGTAGGGCGTGCACGATCGGAGGTGGCCTAGCACTCAATGACAGATTTATACTTTGGTTTAGGGCGTCCTACGTCCGGCCCGCTTGAGTCGCGCTTCACTTTATTCGCGAGTCCAGTGCTCAAGTTTGCGCTGGGGTTACAAACGACGGAGAAAGATGGGGTACAAGAGATAGTTAGTTTAGGGATCGGGAGCTCCGCTATGCTAAGTGAAGCTTCGTTTGAATCGGTGGTTTTGATCTGTGTACTAGTGAACTTGATCGATCAATAAACTGCCTCTTGAGAGAGCGCATCCCTTTTATAGATGAATGGCGACCTTAGTTTAGGGATCGGGCGAGACGATGAGCTCATGGATCCCTGATGTCTTCTTCGGTATGTAGCGTCTGCGCCACCTTTGATGATACCAAGGTATGCAAGGGGTTTTACCATGTTCGCCGATACGGTAAATAGTTTTGGGATCGGGGGAGCGAGATGGAGCTCGGGAGATCGCCGACAACGAGGAAAATGTCGGCGCCTACAACCTTTGCTTTCACGTTATGTCGAGGCGATTAGTTTAGGGATCGAGCGAGATGGAGCTTACGTGGATCTCAAGTCGCGGCAGCAGACCGCATAGCCGAGGCGAGGTTAGTTTCGGAAGGTGTC